ATCACCATGGTAATGGTAGGGAAGGAAATGGCCACTTTTGCTACTTCTCAGTATGGGCAGTTGGGAGCTTTCAGGGAAAGATAAATGTGTGTGTGTGTGTGTGTGTGTGTGTGTGTGTGTGTGTGTGTGAGAGAGAGAGAGAGAGGAGAGAGAGAGAGTGTTTACACACCCCCTGGCTCCACCTGTAGTCATACATTAGAAACTTTCCCAGAGAGCTAGAGAGAATACTTAGATGTTGCCCAGAAAAGCAAGGGAAAATGATTTAAAATGTGAAATATGTTGCTTTCTATTAAGGAATGAGCCTGGTGTGCCACAGTTTTTATCAAGGTGATGTAAACTTATGAAATTAATGGGCCTATGCATCATTTACTTCAGGTATCACTAACTATATACAGGTTGCTCTAATAGCTGCCCTAGTTTTGTCTATCTAGCGATTATACAAGGGCTTTGGAGCTTTTCCACATTTAATGTAAGTTGGACGCTCATGCCTTTCTTTGGGTTTTTTGCTAGTTAGTGCCCCATCTCTGCATCTGTCTTCCACCTTCGAAAGCAGCCTCCATGGTCTTGTACTCAAGTTGGCTTGGAGGCCTTTCTCGAGGGGATCTGGCATGAGGGTAGGAAAGAATGTTGTATTAGATATGCAGATACCTGGGTCTATGTTGGAGGGGGGAATTAGCCTTCCAGCTAAAGACTGGTCTAGACCAAGCAACCCCAGAGTCTGTAGACTTAATAACAGGCCAGGCAGGGATGGATGGATGTTGGAGCTTGGGGAAGGGGAAGAGATGTTGTGCCAGAGACAGAAATTCAAAGCCTCTTCCCCTATAGCTGTTCCCAGTTGGCATTTCCATGTAGCAGCAGTGTTGCCCAGTGGCCAGTTCTGGTACTGCATGCCAAGCACAGTTTATCTTCCAGCTTTCCTCTCTACTCTCTGTATCTTTCTCCCTATTCTGGAGCCGGGTAGATTCCAGTTGTTTGGTCCTGACTTCCTGCTGCCCATCAGGAGGTCTCTGTGATCAGATCCCATGATGTCATCATCAATTACATCTTGTACTGAGGTACCAGGAATGTGTCTGTCTCCCTGGGGAAGAAGTGTCTCCTATAGGGGGGAGCAGCATTTCCAGGGGTTCTTAATCTTTCCCTCCTACACAAACTAGGGTATGATAGAAGGAGCACTGAACTGGGAGTCCAGAGGCCTAGGCTTTAATTTCAGTTTTGCTATTAATTCCATATCTGGTGTAGGCACTTAATTTCTTTTCTCCAAAAGCCTCTGTTTGTTCATCTGTAACACGAAGGGGTTAGATGTTCTTGGGCTGCATTCAGAATAAGTACGTGGTTTTCCTAACAGTCTCTTCCCTGGTGAGAGCACCTGAAAGAGGGGAGCCTAAATGGTCAAGGTCTCTGAGGCCTGGCCATAAAAAGATTGATTGGGGGAACTGGGGATGGTTAGTCTGGAAAAGAAGTAAAGACTCGGGTTGGAGGTGGAAGAGGAAAGGGAGGATGACATGATAACTATCTTCAAGTACCCCAAGGGCTGTTACATAAGCAAATGGGATTGGACTTGTTCTTTCTGGCCCCAGAGGGCAGAACTAGGAGAAATGAGCAGGAGTTACAGAGTAATGAACTTTGGCTTAATGGAAGGAAAAATTTCCCAACAATTAGAATTGTTGCAGAGTGGAATGGTCTGTCTTGGGAGATAGAGGCTTCCTTCTAACTGGACGAGGTCTTCAAGCAAAGACTGGAAGACCACTTGTCAAATCTCTTATTTGGGGGACTCTTTTTTTTTTTTTGGCTAGGCACTGGGGTTAAGTGACTTGCCCAGGGTTACACATCTAGTAAGTTTTAATGTGTCTGAGGCCGGATTTGAACTCAGGTCCTCCTGAATCCAGGGCCAATGCTCTATCCACTGCGCCACCTAGCCGTACCCTTTTTGTGCAGGGATTCTTTTAGGGGGGTGGGTTGTACTAGTCAGGCAAGGAGTTCCCTTCCATCTCTGAAATTCATTCATTTTGTGACAAAGTCAAGTCCCTCCTAGCTCTGCCATTCTAGGGCTACGGTTCTACTCTGGCTGTCAGGTGTGAGTACTACATTTAGGGGTTTGGGGGGATTCTGCAGCTTCCTTTGAGGATGAGAATGGGAAGGAAAGGAACAGCCTTGAAGCATGGGAACTCTTGGACCAAGGTGTGCTTGCTCGCCCCTTTGGGGAGGCAGTGTGTCGCTCTGTCCTTCCCAATTTTCTTCTTGTCGCTTTTATCTACTTCCAAGACTCCAGGAGGTTTGTGCAAGGAGGGATGACCTGGGATGAGACTCGGGGACTTTGGTACTTGCCCTACCACGGGGTTCTACCCCTTTAGTATATGGGCTGTACTGAAGGGTGGAGTTTTCCCCAGAGAGGATTGATAGGTAATTCGTTGGGTTAACCTGTGCTCTTGGATAGAGAGGTAGGAAGCTACAGTGACCTGAGCTCCTAGGAGCTTTACTCATCTCCCTTATTTCTGTTGCCATCGTCCTCCCAAACGGCCAAAGGTGCCATTGTCTTCTCCATCGCCCATGGTCAAAATTTCAGAGCCATCTTTGGTCCTTCCCTCTCGCTTCTCCCAAGATCCAATCAGTCGTCCGGTCCTGTTAATTCTGCTTCCCCAAGATGGATGATAGTCAAGTCTTTCACTCCCTTTCCACTCCGACCGTGGCCACCCTGATTCAGGCTTTCGTGGTCTCCTACCTGGTCTCCACCCCCTCCTCCGTTCTCTCCCCTATTCAGTCTGCCATTCCTGTTCAATCTTCCTGATGCTCAGATCTGACCTTTGCCACTCTCCTGCTTAAAAACTTTCAGAGGCAACTTGGTGCCTATTGGATACAATATAAACTCCTTGGTCAATCTGTTATTTAAGAGCTCTTCACTATCTACCTGCAGCCTTATTTCTCATGATTCCGCTTCACAAACTCCAAACTCCAACCAAATTAGGCCATTAGCTGACCTTGCCCTAAACTCTTCTGGCTCAGTGCATGCATGCGTGACCTCCTCCGTGGCCCAAACACATCCCTTCCATCTCTCTACAAGTTGACTTCCTTTTCTTCCTTCTGAGGCATAGTCCAGGCGCCACCATCTGAATAGAGCCTTTCCTGATCTCACTCTATGCCCATTCCACTTTTACTCTGAACCCAGAGTCAGGAAGACCTGACTTGAAAGCTGACCTCAGACACTTACTAGCTATATGAACATAGGCAAGTCATTCAGCCTCTGTAAAATGAGGAAATAATAGCATCTAACTCCAAGGGTTGTCGTGAGGGTTAAATGTTGTGTGGAGATAATATTTGTAAAGCACTTTGCAAAACCTTAAAGAGCTATATAAGTGCTGAGCATTATTGTTGCGGTTATATCTGTTCCTCCTCAAATGTTCTTATTCCTAGTGTTTAGATCTCTTCTTTGACCTTATTATACTCTACAGAGCTCTGAAAATTAACTAGGACAAAGTAAAATAAGTTTATCGATATACACAATAAACCTTATAACTTTTTTATTAAAAAACCCCTTTTTAATATGCAATATAGCCTCCTTTTCTTGCAACCACTTGTTTTATATGATTTAGTATTGACTTCACAAGATTTTGACCTGTATTTAATTACTCATCATGAAACCATACTTATGACATTGGAGATTAAGTACACTTTTAAACTTATAAACAACTTATAAACAGTACATTTTTTCCAAGTCTAGCCATAGTTCATAGATGGTTTTTTTTTCCCCAGGCAGGATTTAAATAAAATGAGTTCCCAGATTATGGTTATTTCTGTCTTTTGGGTAACTTTCTTAACCTTTGGCATCATGCAAAGTTGCGCTGTAGTATTCCATCCCCAGTTGGGTATCTCTGTAATTTCAGAGTGATTCTGCTTCTTGGTATATCAATATATTTATCAGAGCTCATCATTGCCTCAATAGGGACATGACTTCCAGGCCCACTGGAAGTTTAAAAATTCCCTCAAACACTTTTTGGGTATGGGTACTTTATAGCCTGATGAGAATACCCAGATATTACAGACTTATAGACTTCTTCCAACAAAGGTTTTGTATATCCTTGAATGAAAATGTGAAAAATCGTTAGTAAAATTACCTTTTTCCAATCTTCAGTACGCTAGTCTTTGTATCGTCCTGTACTATGATGTACTTTTTTTTTTAGGGCAACGATTAGCAGCTTAAAACAGCAACAACTGTTCTTCTGGCCATTTTTCCGACTTGAAGACAGCTACACTGCATTGCAGAGAAATCATTAACAACTTCTCTAGCTGCCAGGTCCCTCTGAAGGTCTTTGCTTCTCTTCTGAGGACTAATTAGGCTGTTGTTTGTCAGCTCTAGGTGTTATTTTTTGGTTTTTATTGCACTTAACTTTTGACCTCCACACCAGCAGCTGCTGCAACAACTTTAAAGGTCATTAAAAGGTGCTCTTGAAGAACTACGGTTTTTGCACATTTCCTTAGAACAATGTCCATTCTTAAAAATCACAGAATTAAAAACACCACAGAAGAAAGTAATGTATAGAATGAACTATAGTGCTCAATTGTCAGGGAACTAACTAAAAGTCAGGAAACCAGCTCAGTAAAGTCGCACCTGGTCAGGGTCAGAAGCTCTGAATCAGCCTAGCATTAGTAGAGCCATGCTTGCCTGACCGTTGTCACAAAGTGAAACCATATAAAATGATTGCTTGTCCCAAGTAATGCACACACCTCAGTAATTCACTGTAACTGATATCACACTTGTTAGTAGATGTGCCACATCCCCCAGAGACAGCGTGAGCTCCTTGAGGACAGGAATTGTGTTGCTTTTCATATTTTTTTTAATTGCTGTACACAAGAATACTGAGCAGTGTCTTGCACATCGTGATTAATAAATGTTTATTGATTGAAGCCGAATTGAGTTGGCCTCTTGGGCCTAGCGGTATTCTGTCTTCTGTCTAGGCCACGTCGTGGTAACCTCCTCTCTCTCTGTCTTTGATCTCTCCTTGTAGACGGAGCCCCACTTAGTGAGCTGTCCTGGTCCTCATCTCTTGCCGTGGTGGCTGTTTCTTTCTCTGGACTTTTTACCTTCATCTTCCTCATGCTGGCTTGCCTGTGCTGTAAGAAGGGAAACATCGGGTTCAAGGTAAGGCATGGACTGGACTTCATCCATGGAAGGGAGAGATGAGTTTTGTAGTGAGAGAGGAGCCTAAACCAGGTCCCCTTGCCTGCCAGAGATACCGTTCACGTTAATTTGGAAGCCTCCCAGGGATGGGCCTGTCTTCCACCCAGCTCTGTGTCCTCTTCCTTTTGCAAGAAGCCCAAAGAGGACAATGTGATTTGGTGGGACTAGTTACCTGTTAGTGTTAGGAGGGTGATGAGGATGAAGGCCAGCTGATGGATAATGTCTTGACCCCCATGCCTAGGAACGTAGCTCCAGTGGCACAGCCCAAAGCCTTGGAGTAAACTCAGGCATCCTGGCCCTCTTTGCCTTTCCCTAATTCTTGTGATTGCTTTTTTTTTTCCTTTGTGGATATGCTATCCACTGGCCACGTTTTGTGGCAGAGGTCTGTTATTGGCACGTTCACCAAAAACCTCACTGAAGAGAACTGGCCAGCCTCTTCTGACCCAGGATATGGTCAGAGCAGGTCCAGGCAGTTGTGTCAGTGACCACAACTCTAGCTCTCGCCTCTGCCAGCTGACCTACTCTGGTAGAGGTGGATGAGAGCTTGAGTGGTGTGACAGGATCCATCCACATGGCCAAGAATGTTCACGTAAAAGCCTGTGGTAATGCTGAACTTGAGTTCAAAGATACCCATCTTTGAATCAAGTGCCCATCTTTGCCTGATGAAGGTAACAAAAAAGAATTCACAGATACACACACACACACACACACACACACACACACAGAGTGTCCTTGAGAGGAGATAGGGGACATGTCCCAATAGTGCCCAGCCCTTGCTGGTTCTGAGGCTGAGCATCTTCTCAGGAATACCTGAGCACTTGGGTGTTAATAGTCTTAGTTCTCCAGACCTCTCCCTTCTCTTCCTATCTTTGTGCCCATATCGATTTCCTATTGAAACTAGTGGAGAATTTTGTGCCAATGATGTTTTCTAGGCTTTTAGTGATATTGACAATGATAATCATAATAATAGCACAGCTCCAGTGAATTACCTCTCTGTGGAATCACTCATTTGGATCTGCAACTGCTGGGGCAGGAGTATTGTATGTCAAAGCCATTTCTGATGGAGTTTTAGAGATTTCTCCGTTTCCTGCATTGATCTCCATGCTAAATTAATAGAGGCAATGCCCCATACTGTGATAAGTTTATGGTCTGCCTGTTGGAGGGATTGTTTGGTTTCTTGAGCCCTGTAGATTGTAAGTCAGACATCAAAACTGCTTTTCACTTATAGTTCCTAGTTCATCTCTAATAAATCACAGCATTGTGTAGACAGAAAAGCCCTGATCTTGGTATCAGGAGACTGGATTGTAATCCCAGATCCATTGCTTTTTAGCCATATGGCCTTGGGCAAGTTACTTCTCTAAGGATCAGTTTCCTCACCCTTAAATGGGAATAGTATTATTTATTTGCACTGCCGAATTCTTAGGTTTGTTGGGAGGTAATGGATATGAAGTCATTTTGTCAACACCACATCACTTTGCAAATGTGAGGAATTAAATCCTAGGAGGTTTAAGGGCCTGAGAAACAAAAAGTCCTTGGAGCTGTGAACAATTCAATTCAGTAAACATTTATTAAGTGCCTACTATGTGCCGGCACTGTGCTAAGTGCTAGGATACAAAAAGAAGCAAAAGACAGTCCCTGCCATAAAGGAGCTTACAGTGTAACGGGGGAGACAACATGCAAACAAATATATACAAAGCAAGTTATATAGAGGATAAATAGAAAAAAAAAGAGGGAGGGCACTGGCATTAAGGGGGGTTAGGGAAGGCTTCCTATAGAAGATGGGATTGTAGTTGGGGCTTAAAGGAAGTAGTTGGAACGTAGGAGATGGGGCTTAAAGGAAGTAGTTGGAACGTAGGAGATTGAGCATTCCAGGCATGGGGGAAGGCCAGAGAAAATGCCCAGACAGGGCATCTCCGGCACACATCCAGGACTCCTTTAGCTAAACCTTTAGATTCTGAACGTCGGAATCAAAGCTGAAATTCCTGATTTAGAAGCACCTCTGATGGCCTCTTTTGAATTGAGTTAGTCTAACTCACCAAGTTAATAGGATCAAATTACCATTTCCCAAAGGGAGTCTAGTAAACAGAATCCACAATACTAATATTAATTATTATAAGAATTGGGAATACTTCACATTTCCATGGCATTTTTCCCTTTGAGAGGGCTCCTCCGTGTGGTTATTTCATGAGGAATCCTCTCAGTCTTTCAAGGTAGAGAGGGCAGAAATCATTATCCTTACTTAGGTAGAAGACTACTCATTTTCCCACCTTTTTATAGGTGGGAAAACAGAGGTGAAGGGATTCTTCAGAGATGGAGGATGATAGACTAACTCAAAGGTGAAGGGACTTCCTAAAGTGACACAGCCATTGTGGGACTTGAGCCTCCACTGGTCTGAATGGACCAAACTGCTTCTGGCTGCTCTGCTTGGAAACAACAGAGAGGTGAAGTGATTTCCCCATGGTCACGTAGCCATTATAGGACCAGCACCCATGGTCTGACAAGACTAAGTTATCCCTAGCTGCCCTCCCATTCCTTCCTTGTCCCTTCTGTTCTCTTTCCCAAGTCCTCCTGACCCCCTCCTACCCTTTCGTCACCCACCTCACTCCTCACCAAAGGACTCTGCCTGGCACAGAGCTGACACATCTCCCCAGAGTAATTCAGTAATGCTGGGTATTGCAGCAGGATGAAATGCTTTGGCCCCAGGCCAGTCTCAAAGGGTGGGAGTCTCTGACCTCACAGGCACAGAATGTGCTGGAGAAAGTGATTCTCCCACAGTCTTTGGGATTTCTGTGGAAATGCCTGGCAATAGGTTTGCAAAGCCAGCTGGTATAGAAGGGAAAGAAGTAGAAAATGAGTAGGGAATCAACCGGGGGGGGGGGGAGGCAGCTGGGTAATGTAATACAGTCCTGGTCTAGCTTTTTCCTAAACACTCCAGGAGAATGAAGTTTCACCCTGCCCTTCTCCTACCAGCCCTGACCCCTTCATCGCCTTGTTTGAGGTGCTTCCCTCAGAAAATGCTAGATGGAGAACTGGCTTTGGGGTGTGGTTGCTTCCTAGAGAAGCTCCCTCCCAGACACCACTGGGTTCCCCCCAAGCCAGCTTAGCTTCTTGAACTTCTTCCTCTCATTCACTTCCGTAGGGCCGTGGGTGGGCAGCACGACCATGCTGGAGCCATCCATAGGAAGAGGGGGCAATGGTCATACTGTCCTATGTGATCACTGGTGTAGCCTGTAGGATTCGAGATTTCTCTCTGCAGCACTGCCAGGTGACTAGGTTTGTGAGGAAGTGGCCCTCCCACCTTTATCCCCCAGGATGGCCTCAGAGCACTGATTCCTTCCAGGACACAAGTTTTAATTCCTTTTTTCCTTGGGAAGTGGTTCACAAGAGCTCTCTCTGAGATGGAAAGGGGCTAGACTGAGAGTGTGACTTTGGATTTGGACTCAGTGGATTTTTTAATGGATTGAAAGTGCTTTTGGAAATCTCTTGGTAGAAGAGATGATTCTCTGGGAGAGGCAGAAGAGAAAGGATGACAGATGATGTAAAAATGAAAGATATCAATAACAATTCAATTTAAAAAAAAAAGTGCTCTTGAATGTCTTCTGCCGCTGTTGGTAGAACTTGAGTACTAGGAATGGAGAGGAGAGTGCATACTGTCTGTCATAATGGTTTCTGGGCCCTGCTATTTATCAGGCACTTTCTTTAGGAGCAGGTTTGTATCATTCCTTTTGTTTTGGGATTGCCCAACCTCAAGCTTTCATAGAAGATTGAGGAACTCCCTGTAAAGGGGTGGGGTGGAGAAGGGTTGCTGAGTTGGCTGTCCCTGCCCAAGGGTAAAGGTCTAATCTTCATCTGGCAGATGGCTGGGGTAGGTGGCATGGGGCTGGGAGCCCAGGGTGGGGGTGAGTCTGGTCTGCAACAAGACTTCCTTGTGGAACTAAGGTATGCTCTTTCTCTATCCTTAGGGAGAGTTAAGGGTAGGGGGCAGGAAGGGAGGAGTGAATGAATATGAAGGAGCAAATTGATTTGCTAAAGATTTTACAAATGGAACTAAAGGAACTTTCCTCCATTAACCTGAGAAGTCCAAGGGTTGGGTAGGATTGAGCTAGGTTTCTGGGGACTCCCAGTGGAGATAGTTCACATCTCATGTTGGGCCCCTGTGACCCCCAAGGGATTAAATGTAAAGAGAAAGATAGCCCTGCCCCCCTTCCCTGTTCAAGTGCGTGCAAAGATTTATTTGAGTCATTCTGCAACCCCATTGGGAGAGGAGAAAGGGAGCAGGAATACTGGCAGGGCAAGCCATCCACGTGGTTGGTATGGGCACAGGAATACAGTCCTATGGCCTCTAGGAGCCTACAGGTGTGCATGTGCCTGATATGCACGCTTATTCACTTGCATAGAGGTTGTTACACGTGTAGTAAAAGGCAGGTAAGGAAGACAATCTCCCTTTTTCTTTGTGGGGAATTACAGTGTGAAAGGTTAGATTGAATTCAGGAGGAAACTGCCTGGCCAAGGATTATTAGAAACCTCCTGGTGATGCTTAAGGTTGTATGGTTGGCCTCTGTCCTTCCAGGCTAGGTAGAGGTGGGGAGTGAGCATGTGACCTGCTGTTCTTTGGGCCCTGTACTAACTCAGTGAGGTAGGTAGGTACTACAGGTGTTAGGATCCCCATTTTACAGATGAGGAAACAGAGTCTCAGAGAAGTTAAATGAGTTTCCTTCCTTTCGTTTCTGTGTCTCTTCCTCATGGAGAAAATGATATCTCTTCGAACACTAGGTGTGCAGCTCAGGCTGGAGCCCAACTGAAAGGGAGGAGTCTTTGGTTTCAGTACAGGAGGAAGAAAAGTGAAATTATTCGTGTTTAGATCTCAGTGCCTAAGAGTAGGGGGAAAGGGGTCTAGGTTTGAATATTGAGCTTCGGCCAGAGTTTCTTAACCTAAGGTCTGTAGACCGCACGGTAAGAGGTTGAAGTTTGTGGATAGATTTCACAGGATCTGCAAACTTGAGTGGGAAAAAATATACCTTTATTTCAATATAATTGATTTCCTTTGTAACTGTTTATATATTTATTTTTTTAAAACATTATTCTAAGAAGGGACTCATGGGCTTCACCAGACTACCAAAGATTTCCATGGCACAAAAAAAAGCTAAGAACCCCTGGTTTAGACTAAGTTGACATGTTGAGGATTTCTCTGGAGGCTCAAGAAAAAAGTCCCTAGAAGGCTTGCTTGTTTAGTCATTTTCAGTTGTGTCCAATTCTTTGTGACCCCATTTGGGTTTTTTTTTTTTTGGCAAAGATACTGGCGTGGTTTGCCACTTCCTTTCTCTAGCTCATTTTTACAGATGAGGAAACTGAGGCAAACAGGGTTAAGTGACTTGCCCAGGGTCACACAGCTACAGGAAGATTAGTCTTCCTGACTCCAGGCCCAGTATCCTATCTGCTTGTGCCACCTTAACTGCCTAGAGGGATTAGGAGGACAGTGATAAATATAATCTCCACAGTACTTAACACCTCGAGGCCTATTAGATTTGACCTAAGGCTTCCCAGCCAGGGCCTAACACAGGATTTCTCTCTATCTACACAGCCACATGTTCTTTGTTAAGAGGCACTAGGGTCAATATAACCAGCCTTACCTCTCCTCCCAACCATACCCACTGCTCTCCCTGCCCCCGACACCCATCAACTCTGGGGCTCTCCCTGAAAAGCAGAATACTCTGCCAGGGCAGTCTGACTCAACCTGTCTGCCTGCATAGCTCTGCCCTCTCTAGCCAGAAGCATTTCCCTCCTCCCCAGCCCCACCTATCCACTAAGGTAGCTTCGGGCCACAGGACAGACCAGGCAGGGATACCCAGGAATATGATTCAGAAGAATGGACTGATATAGGAGATGGAGTCCATGCTGCTGCACTGAGTAATATTTTCTCTTTGTTCCTTTAAAACTTCCTTTAAGACAGAGGTTTTTAATCTGGGGTCTAAGCAACCCTTTTTAAAACAACCTTGATAATTATATTTAATATAATAGTTTTTCTTTATAATCTTGTGCATTTTATCTATTTAAAGCTATTATTCTGAGAAAGGGTCCATAGGCTTTACCAGACTGCCAAAGGGGTCCATGACCCCCCAAAAGTGAAGACCCCATGCTAAAAGTAGGGGCTCCTCTAGTGGGTTTAGAGCTGGTGTCTCTGAGGCAGAGGTATGAACTAGATGTGGACAAAGTGTGGTGTGATGAGCGCTTCTCCTATCCATCTCTGCTTCCCAAAGCAGACAGCCTGAGGACTGGGACCTGTGAGGACTTTGGGGAGTGTCTAGTGCCTGTGGCTTGGAGGGGAAGTCGAAAGTGTAAAATAATGGGATGGGGGAGGGAAAGTAGCAGGAGAGAGAGAGTGAGAGAAGTATGTGTGTATGGGGTGATGGTGGGTGGGGAGAGGAGAGACTGCATAAAAAGTTTGGAAGAAGCTTTATTTGCCTTTCTGTTAGGGAAGGGTGATCCTGACCTCTTTGCCCTGACAACAGGACTGCAGAACAAAAGCAAAGAACTGGGGACTGGGACAATATAACCTAGAGGGGCAAACAGGGAGGGATCAGCTGCAGGTGTGAGGAGCCTGCCAGTGGGTGGAGGGGAGGGGAGCTTTCTGTGTGCAGTCAGTGGTCAGGACCATGAAGGGCACCTTTCAGAGCAATGGGGCCACCCCCACCACTTTTTTTTTTAACTCACTGCCTATCTGTCCATCCCTCCATCCATCTGACTGACCCCTTGCAGGAGCCCCCAGGGAACCCTGGATCAGGATCCACGGCTCACGGGAGGTCTCCGTCTCCGCTTCCCCCCCACCAGGAGTTTGAGAATGCCGAGGGTGACGACTACACCACCGAGTTCTCCGTGCAGGGGTCTCCGGCCACGCAGAATGGCCCCGAGGTGTACATACTGCCCCTCACTGAGGTCTCACTCCCCATGGCCAAGCAGCCTGGGAGATCAGGTTAGTCTCATATTAAGAACTCAAAGTCAGCCTGGAAACTGGGGCCCTCCACTTCCCAGATACTTCAAGGACCACCTATTTCCCCACTTCCTCACCCACCTTACCCCCACATTCTTATCCTGAGACTTGGAAAAGATTAGAGACTGTCCTCTTGACCATATTGAATTGAGAAAAATTATGGTATAGGTAGGCTGAGGTCTTGTTGGAGACTTGCATGGGAACCCCTTGATCAATACTCTCAAGCCCTAGGATCTTTATTATAAAGCCTACTTTGTGGGGCTGCCTTCCTATCACTAGGCCTGTTGGTGGCATTTCAACTTCATAGGGAATTGAAATATGTAGACTTTATTCTATATCATAATAGTATCCTGGGACTAACGGTCAGATTACACAAAGAAGGCTTTGGGTGGGCCTTGGGCCCTCCTGGGCAGCGGCAGAATTTGTTGATACGGGTGTCATGCCCTTCTCTCCTGGAGCACTGTCCCTGGCCAACATGATACCTATTTCTAAGAGGGTGCACAAACTTGACAGCTGATGTTAGGTTAAGAACTCTCACCCCTAACCCTCAGAGGGTAAGCTCCTAAGGGTCCTAGAGTAGGAGTGAATGACCTCAGACAGTAGGGTCTCAGGATGGTGTATATAGAGGTCTGCCTACCCTAGATCCCTTTTCCTTGACTACAGTACTTTGAGGCAGGGCTTCAAAGCCTAATGGGGCCTGGCCTGTTGTTCTTGGACGATAAAACTTGGACTCAGTCAAAAGGCTGCCCCCAAGGACCTAGAAGGCCACATGTGGCCTTGAGGCCACAGGTTCTCCAGCCCTGATCTGGTCTAACCTATCATTTTACAAGTGAAGAAGCTGAGACCCAGAGAGTCAGTCTTTCAGTCTATCAACAAACATTTATTAAGCAATTTCTATGTATCAGGCACCGTGCTAAGCGCTAGGGAAACAAAGAAAGGTAAAATCAAAACCAACAAATAAAAAAATCCCTCCAAAACATACTGTTCTCAAAGAGAAAACATTTCTAGTGGGAGAGACAGGTAAATGATTTTTCCAGGGTCGCACATGTAGTCACTAATAGGGCTGAGATTTCAACCCAGGTCTTGATTCCAGTGATTCAGTGGTTTTGTCCTTGTGTCATGCTGGTATGTAAAAGCCTTTCACTTCTCTGGGGCTGTCCTTTCAAGAGAGGGAGAATGGACACTGAGATCCTGGGCAGTGCCACCTTCTTCATCTTTTCTGGCACAGGCCACAGTCTTTCCCAGTTGTGGCATGTGAGAGGGAGGAGAGGTATATAGCCTCCAGGTCCTTCTGCAAAAACCCCTTCCCCCCACCCAGGGTAGCACGTAAGGTTTGGGGGAGATGAGTAGAAGATAGACCCTTCTCTATCAACTCTGTCAGCCCTGGTGTCCATTGGCATATTCTATTTAGAACTGAAAAAGACCCCTTCCCAGTGCCAGCCAGTTTCTCCCATGCCAACCAGGTGGTCAACTAAGAAAGATCCACGTGTAACCAAGACTGAGAAGACACAGACCAGCCTTAGCCTTGTGGCTCCCATGTGACTGGAGCTGACGTGGACCTGCCCATCTTGCAGAGAGGAGTTGGTTTTCCCGTTCTCTCTCTCCTTTGGCCCAGAGCCAGAGGTTATATCAGGGAAGAAGAAAAAAATCCATCCCTGCCCAGAAGGGGCAGGAGTGGATGTTCAGCTGTTAAGGGGACAGAAGGAAAGAAAGTTTGGAGTTAAAGTCTAAACTATGTTTTCTTTTATGTGTCCTCATCCCACCACCACCACAGGAGGCCCCGTTAAGATATTAGAGGGGGGGAGAGGAGAAGCAAGAATGTGTTGCTGTGCTATTGAGTGGCGCTCACCCCAACCCTGTGCCATCCTGTGACCTCTGAACTGGGCAGACCAAGAGGCCTTGGAGATTCTGCAAGCCTCTTGGATTTCTGGAAAGAAGGCAGAACCATTCCTAGCTTATTTCTTCCTCTCCTCCCAAACTCCTACCCCACCCAATGGCTGTGGACATGAGCCCAGGCCAACCACACAGCCCCGGTTGGCCATTGTGCCCCGACAGGGCAGCTCTTCCACACACACAGGGGCTTTTCTTGTGTTCTGTGAACCTCATGGGGTGTGGGGCCCATGAATCTGTCCTTTCAGCCTGAGAGGAGTGGGTGGGCCGGAAAGGGGGCTGGGGGCTTATTTCCAGTGGTGCTTTGTGATTTGGGGGTGTGGGGGGGGTAGGTGTGGGTGGAAGAACAAGGTACTTTTTCACTATTTCTTCTATCAGAAGGCTGGATTCTTCCACCACAGTGGGAAAGGGGCCAGGGTTGGGGCTGGGTAATACTCCCAGGAAGGAGACTTGCCCTGACCAGGATCCTCATTCTGTAGGTGCTATCTGTCTCTTCCTTGATGAATGCTGAGAGTTCCTACAGGCACTGTACTGATCCTTGCCCTCACTCAGTTTCCCTTTCCATAGGTACTGAGGAGATAGCCTCAAGTTGTCTCCCCTAGTTCTGTGAGGTCTCCAGCACCATCCTTGAGCCTCCAACCATGGTCCCAAGGCCTCTGACCACCTATAGGAGGAGGTTGATCTAGTTTACTGTCTTCCCTGAATTGGGGGTAGGACTGCAAGACTCCAATTAACACCCCAGAATAGAGGTGGGATAGGGGTTTCATAGTCAGAGAGGCCCCCTCCCCATGACCAAGGTTGTCTGAGGGTTGTATGATATATATATGTGAAGTGTGATGTAGGATCAGAGTGTAGGAGTGAAAAAGAGAGATGGGCAGGTTTGCCTGTCATCTTCTACCCTCTGGACTTTGGGAGCATAAACCTTCCAGGGGGGACATTCTGATCTCAGAGCTGAGCCGCCTCTTAGGGGTTCTGAGGGACTCTATGTCAGGCAGCTGTTGTCAGAGTGATAAGGAGGCTGAGGGCAGGTAATTTAGGCTCATCTCCCACTTGTCCTTCCTGAATTTAGGCCACAGGTTCTGAACTTGGATGGGGAAATTGTTTTTTGGTTTTTTTTATCATTATTTCCACCAACTTTTAACTGAACTTGGGCATTTCCTTCAATTATGCATTAAAAAATTATTCTGAGAAGGGGTCCATAGATTTTGCCAGATGGCCAAAAGGTTAACTGTGCCCTAGGCCACAATGTGCGTGCCTCCTCAGTCCCTCTCCCTAAGGGAAAAAGAAAGAACAAGGATGACAAACTCCCCAAATCCTTGCCCACGCTCCCCCAACTCAGGCTTGGGCCTGTTATCTCTCTGGCACATAATGGGAACTTCTAGAAATTTCAGTTGTAATGCCACTTCCTTCACTCTATCACCCTGCCTCTCCCTTTGTCTACTTAGAGTTTCCAGGAAAATGATAAAAATGTCTAAAAGCCAAATGCTTACCCATAGGAGAGCCATTTCCTATGTTAGGGAGCCCTGGGGCCCATCACTGAAAGAAGGCAAGACTATGAACCCAAGGTCCTCTGGTACTTTTTAGGTATAACACCTGCCATCTGGAGAGCAGTCCTGAGCAGGCAGAGAGAGATGAGATCATAGTCCTAGAGTTAGAAGGGGTTCAAGAGATCAGTTGCTTTTCCAGAAGTCCTATGTCTGGTCTCCAAGGTATTCAAACTTAGGTCTTCCTGACTCCAGTGCTCTATCCACTAACATATCCAATAATGATAGTAGTAATAGTAATACCTAGCACTTATATAGAGCTTTGAAGTTTGTAAAGCGTTTTATGTGTGTTAACTCATTTGATCCTCACAATAATTCTGAGAGAGAAGGATTGTTATTGTCCCCATTTTTGCAGTTGGGAAAACTGAGACAAGAGAGAGCTTAATTAAGTGACTTCCAGGGTCACAAAGCTAAGTGGCTGGGTTTCCTGGCCCCTGACTTGTGCGTTCTATCTACTGAGCCACACAGCTGCTCCAGTTCAAGGTGACTCCCGACCACCCAACTCCATTCTCCATTCCCCCGCCCTTGTCAGGTGGGAAATCTAAGGAGAGAAGAAGGAACTTGATCACAGTTACTCTCACCCTTAGCCTAGGATTCGGGCGCCTGACTCCGAGGTCTAATACTTCATTTGCCCTCATCTTCAGGGAAGAGTCCTCCCCTTTCCCCTTTTTATAAGGTTCTCCAGGTGTGTCCTCTCTCTCAGATTAAAAGTAAGAATGAACTTTAGTGATAAGTATATACGGGACCGCCTGCCTTTCTACCCCAACTTGATTCAGAATTTCTTGAAAATCTTTTAGCAGTTGTGGAAATTCTAGGGCTGACAGGCCATTTAGGAGGAATTCCTTCTGATAAAATTGGTTGGCCTGAAAGGGCAAGGTAGACAAGGGGCAGGTTTATGGACTCATTTTTCTTTCTACTTCCTGCTGTTGATCATTGATTGAGAGGTGGAAGGACCCTTACAGGTCCCTGAGTAATCCCCCTCATTATAAAGATGAGGAAACTGAGGCCCAGAGAGTTTAAGTGTCTTGCAAAATCTCACATGGGCAGAACTGGGATGTGAACCCAGGTCCTCCTACTATTTCCACTGTCCTGGACTGCCTCAGAGCAATAGGAGTGATTTTAATTTTGTTCTCATTTCTAGGACTACACCGTTTGTGCTGAGGAGTCCAAATCTGGGAGTACAGAGATTAGATAGTCACATCCTTTAAGAGCTGTCTTCCCTTGGTGGTGAGAAATGAGGAAAAAAAAGAGAGAGAGAGAGAGAAAAGGTGACCATATTAAACATGCCCAGCTTCAGTGCTGGGAGAGCCAGATCTAGGGTGAGAAAACACCCTCAAAGCAACCTAGGTAATTCCCAACAATCAGGGCCTTGGAGAGTCTCGAAGTGCTTAACCAAAAAAGAGGAGGGCCCTGTATGCCTGCTTGACTTCAGAAGAGTCCACAGAGGCACCTCCGAGTTTCCCAAATAAAAATTAGAACAGTATATCTGGAGCAAAGGAGTGATAGGACTCTCTTAATCTGTTCCTCCTGCTCCAGGAAGTTTCTCCCAGAGCCTAGAGGCCTGTTGAGTCCAGTTCCCATAGCAGAAGCAGGAACATGTGGGAGAGGGTGGTGCATGGGATGTCTTGGGAATATGAGAAGTTGGGATTTTAATTTTAATTTATACTAGCACCCTCCTTCCACTCTCACCCTGGTCCCTTTCCCCCATGCCACAAAGCCCTGGGATGCCTCCCAGGTTTAAAAGGGGCTTCTGTAACTCTCTTCTAAGGTCTGGGGCCTATAGGAAGAAGCAGCAGGCCCTCATCACCCCATTAAATGGCAAGTGAAGAAATAGTATATTTCTCTCAGAGTCATGGCCTGTCAGAACCAAAAAGGACCTTAGAAATTATCTAATCCAATCTCTTTGTTGTACAGAGGAAGTCACTGAGGCAAAACAGTTTGTCCACGACCATATGACTGAGTAGCTATCCAGATTTCTAGTTCTGGGCTCTTCTTCAACACATCGTAGAGGGAACCCCAAGATATAAAAATCTATGAAGTTTTCCCTTCATCTTTGTTCAAACATCAGGGATTCAGTGATTCTATCCCCAACTCTCTTCTCATTTTGGGGACCTGGGTTCTTGGGGTCTAACTGGGGTGAAGGGCTTAGGAAAATGTCTCTTGAGTGCTCTTGAGTCTGATTCCTGAAGGGAAGATAAGTGCTGTCCACCCCACCCTCCTTCCTGGAGCCCAAGAAGAGGCCAGAGTATTTGCCTGAAATCTCTAATATCCCTCCTCCCCTCCAGTAAACAAGGGTGATGTGTGTGGGAACAGAATTCAGAGCATGCCAGGAAGAGCTAGAGGGAGTCAGGGCAGATACCAGGGTCCAGCAACTGGCCCCTTCCCTCAGGATTGTGCCGGGTGCGGCCACCACTGACCTCACCCAGGCCTGGCTTGGGGTGGGAGGGAGACCAGGGGAGAATGGGGCCAGTGTGTCCCGTGTAGGGCTGTGCCAAGCAGTCCCCAACAATAGGCCTTTGGTGGGGCTGGAATGTCACTGCAGTGATTGGATTGGAGGAATGTCAAAGTGTTCCCCATCTTTCCTGCCTTCTGTCCTCCTACACTGGGGCGGGAGGGGGTGGGTGGGCAGCATCATCAGCAACTTGCCCAAACAACACTCTGCCTGATGCTGCCCACTTAGTGGGCTCTGAACTTTGCCATCTTCTGCATTCAGTTGCTGGGCTCTTACCCTCTCCCTGATCCAGGCTACTGGCCCTACCGATGCCATGGTGGGATACTCCAAATAACTCCCTTGACTCTCCATCTCCCAGGCAGCTAGCTTTCTTCCTTTAGAAGCTAATGCTGTCCCTGAGCAGCAGGAGATGCTCAGTGATCCTTAATGAACCCTGGCCAGCCCCATGATCACACTGGGAGCCTCCTAGACGTGGACCCTCTTTCCTGGGGGACACCTAGGCCCTCCTGTCTTTCTTGGGGCTCTCCTGAAGATACGAGGGTAGCATCTGTTTTGGTGTCATTCTTCTTGGACCCACCCACAATGGGACCCCCGGATTGAGGTCGAGTGGCCAAAATTAGATGGTTCTGGTTGAAGAGAAATTGAGGAGGTGGGAGGGAAACTATTGAACCTAGCCTGCTCTGTTACAGTTCAGCTGCTCAAGTCTACAGACCTGGGACGCTACAGCCTCCTGTACCTGAAGGAGATTGGCCATGGCTGGTTTGGGAAGGTGAGTTCCTTTGGTTCGTGACTTTCTCTATCTTTCTCTTTTACCCCCCCCCCGCCCCCGGCCCTCAGGACCCGTGTTTCCTAGAGGGAAGATGTAATAACCTTAATGGTAGAGATGCGGGCATTTGACTTAGAATGGGGTTTAGATAATTCCTTAAGAACCCCATAGCATGCTTTGTCAAAGGATCTCAGAACATTTTCAGCCTGTTTCCTCAGTGGCCCAGTACCTTCCCTCTAGATTTGGAGGTGAGGAAACAGGAAAAGGTGGGAGAATCTTACCCTGAGGTTCTGCAGTGAGTCAGTCGGCAGTACAGCCCAGTTCCCTGCATGTCCACACACTAGGGTCTCTGTACTGCCCCTAGTCCGAGTTCTGACCCTGGGGATACCCAGCTTGGGGCCCCCTGAATTAGAGCTGCCCCTTACAGTGGGATCCTTAATACCCTGCTGTCTGTGCCTTTTACCCTTCTCTGGGAGACAGGTAGGTGGCCCCATCTTGCCAAGGCCCAAGAACCTGGCCTGGGCCTGGGACTACAGCTGGTGAAGGAGGTAATTCTGAGGGATGCAGGTGCTGGACTTTGCACAGGAGTTTCAGCACACTGCGCCCCTGGCTCTCAGCTCTATCATTCGACTGCCTTTTCTTGCCTTCCTCTATTCCTCTTTGCCCTGTAGACCTCAATTAAAATCTGTCTCCCCCACCCACCTCACACTCCAGGGTTGAGAGGGGAATGCAGAAAAGTAGTTTGGGAAGGTGAGCTAGCAATCCCTTAGAGAGGGGTTGAAAGAAGAGTCCCCACCCCAAGTCCTATCGTGAAATGCAGTAGAGTTCTCCGTAGAGTCCCTTGGTGGAGAGGACCCAGGGCAAAGCAAAGCTTGGTAGATTTTATTGTTTCAGTTAGGACAGGAGACAGAAAGAAAGCTTTCCTAGGAGTTCTGGGTAAGTTGAATAGGTTGCAACTCCACCAGGAGGTCCGTGTAAAAGAAGTCCCCAAAGCTGGAGTGCGCCATCCCTTCTTACAGCCAGGACCTAGATGATAGCTTCCAACCAGACAGGGGCATTGACCAGAAGCCTGCTTCCAAAACAAGCCAGAGTCTTAAGAAAGGAACAGGCCAGTGGGCTCCCCGGGCTGTGCTGCCCTTTGCTCCGAGGCTTCTCTGCCCAGCAGGTGGGCCCCTCCTTCATGACAGGGCCTGTGTTAAGGGGACCTTTCAGTCAAGGGGTGGGAGGGGGGTGTGGGTGGGTGACGACCCTGTTTCCTGCCCATGCAGGTATTCCTGGGTGAGGTCAATTCGGGCATCAGCAGCACCCAGGTGGTGGTAAAGGAGCTGAAGGTGAGCGCCAGTGTGCAGGACCAGATGCAGTTCCTCGAGGAGGCCCAGCCCTACCGGTAGGTGGAGGCAGCCACACCCAGCTGGCAAGCCCCCTCGTTCACAACAAGGATGGGTGTTGTGGGCTGTGCAGAGGGGAAGATGGTGGGGACCAGAACTGGGGTCAGAGCTGGCTTTGATCCTAGAAGAGAAAGGGGGTAGTGGTGATATCAAAGCAGATACCAGTGCCATCTGGTGGACAAAGAGAGTAATCCCAGGCCTGGCCAGAGAGTTGGGATGCAGAATGCTTTTCCCTCCAGGCTTCCCCTCCCCCGCTGCAGTTGGGTTGATGTCTGCATGTGGGGACCTTGGTAACCTGACCATTGGTCACTAGAGCCCCCGGTCTGGAGCACCTTTGCCCATTTGCTGCCCCAGTGGAGCTCATCCTTTCCCCACAGGGCTCTTCAGCACAGTAACCTGCTTCAGTGTCTGGCCCAATGTGCAGAGGTGACCCCGTACCTGCTGGTGATGGAGTTCTGTCCGCTGGTGAGTCAGGGGTTCGGGGCAGGATGACGGGAGGAGGTCTTGTAGCTACCTGCTCTGCCTCTCTTTCTCTAGGTCGGGGGCTCTTTACCTTTTTCATGGACCTCTTGACAGTCTGGTGACACCTGTGGACCCTTTCACAGAACAATGTTTTTTTTAAAAAAAAAAACATAAAATAAAGTACAGGGGATTACAAATTCAAATGCCGTTATCAAAAAAAAACAAAACAACAGTTCACAGACCTCAGGTTAAGACCATTGCTCTTTTTTCTTGGGATAAGACCCCCTCTTTGACCTTGTTCCTTGGCTTGGAGCAGGACCAGGAACCACCGGATAAGACCAAATAGGTTGATGTCTGGTAGACATGGGGTCTTAGTCCTGCAGATTCAGCTGGGGGACCAGTCTATCCTGGGACTTTCTTGGAGCAGATACTCCATTTACTGTAACTCTAAAAGGTCCAGAGAATTCTGGTTACATTGATTTGGATCAGTAAGACCAGCTAAAGTGATTTGAGTCCTGAGAGGGCCCCACATCTGACTAGACATTCTCCATTGTGTCTTAGATCCATGATCAGTGGAAGCAGACCCACTGGGAAAGCTTGAGGTGGCACCGGTCATAGCCTAAACCCTTCAACCCCAGCCAGAATTGCTCTGGCCATGCAATGAATGGCGGGGTTTCCCCACAGGTTCCTGGGAACTTCTCTGTTATTGCTAGAGAATTTCCTTGGCCCTCTAATAAAACATCTGTGGTTTGGCTGTGGGAGATACCATCTCTCTTAAAGTATTTGAAGCCGTGTTTTAGTGATTTTCAGCCTTGTGGGCCCTCCTCTCTCCCCATTATTTTTTTTTGGTCTCCCCATTATTTTTTAGTGTCACAATTTGTAAATCAGAAGCAAATATTTACTATTTTATGAATTACTTATCAACTCAATTCACCCCCAACTGTTTATGCCAGCAACACAGGAACCAAAATTGATAGAATAGTCCTGCCCCCTGATTAAATCTGTATTTCTGAATGTGAATAGCAGATTAGATCTCTTCTAGTTTAACTTCAGTACAGGGTGTTATCTGAATGCATATTGTCCACTTTGTAAAGTATCCACAGAAAATGTTTAATCCAGAGGCAGCTGAGAGTCACAATAGAAAAGACCTGAGCTCAAATCCAGCCTCACCTTCCTACTGAGTGACCTTAGGCAAGTCACTTAACCTGTCTGCCCCAGTAGCTTCATCTGTAAAATGGGGATTATAATAGCACACCCAAGGGTTATGGTGATGATCAAATAAGATAATTTGCAAAGCGCTTTGCAGACCTTAAAGCATTAGCTATTATTATTATATAGCTCTTGATCTAGGCAACTAGGTGTCATAGTGGATAGAGTGCCTAGCCTGAAGTCAGGAAGTCTCATCTTCCTGAGTTAAAATCCAGCCTCAGATAACATACTAGCTGTGTGTCCCTGGGAAAGTCACTTAGCCCTGTTTGCCTTAGTTTCCTCATCTGGAAATGGCAGACCACTCCAATATTTTTGCTAAGAAAACCCCAAACAGGGTCATGAAGAGTTAGACAGTACTGAAATGACCGAACAACAATAAGTTCTTAACACCAAGAGAGAGAAGGGGAAAAGTATTCTAGGCAGAGGGTGATGGAAGGGCCGAAAGTGTGCATGATATAATTGGTATATCATCTAGGCCAAAGTGAAAAGTATGAATAAGAGTTATAGGAAGTAAGATCAGAGAAACTAGAAAGGTCTTGAAAGTTAGACTTGAGAGGCAGCTAGGTGGCAAAGTGGATAGAGCACTGGCCCTGGAGTCAGGAGTACCTGAGTTCAAATCCGGCCTCAGACACTTAACAGTTACTAGCTGTGTGACACTGGGCAAGTCACTTAACCCCAATTGCCTCATCTAAAAAAAAAAGAAGAAGAAGAAGAAAGTTAGACTTGGGAGTTTAACCATTGTGAACAGAATTCTATATTCACAAAAGCAGTGTTTCAGAAAAACAAGCAGACCAATGTGCAGAAGGAATTGAAGTGTTCAGAAATTAGAGGCAGGGAGAACAGGTGGAGAGCTATTACAATAGTCTAAGCAAAAGACCTGGACCAAGGTAGTGGCAGTGACAAGAGAGAGGAAGGGGAGAATCCCTCGTTTTTGGATTAGATACTGTTTGTACTCACACTACTGTTCCCTTCCACTACAATTTCAAAAAACAATTCTTGTTGGATTATTTTTTTGTTGAACTCTTGGAAAATCAGTAAAATCATCATAGGTAATAGAACGTAGGTTTAGGAGTTGGACAAAGGCCTATCCATTTTCTGCATGTAGCTAGAGAGGGTTTCTACTCCTTTCTATCCTAGGAGTAAATCATCTCTGCTGCACGACAGGCTTCTTCAATCTAGTGAGGTGCAACAAAAACTACTTTACCACAGGTTCATGGATATATTATCCAAGATTACTATTAACCATTATTAGTAGAGATTACCTATGTGATTGTGAGCTAAAGAAACTGATTTTTATGTGAAAATTTTTGTATATATTTTTCAAATTACCTGTAAGACAACACCCATTCCTATTACAAAAAAAAAAAAGAACACTAGAAAACACAGGAATAAATGGAGCTTTCCTTAAAATGTTAAGTAGTATCTATCCAAAACCATCAGCAAGCATTATCTGTGATGAGGATAAAACTAGAAGCCTTCCCAATAAGATCAGGGTTGAAGAAAGGATGCCCATTATCACTACTATTATTCAGGAAATATTCGCTATAGCGATAAGAAAAAAAAAGAAATGGAAGGAATTGGAATAGGTAATGGGGAAACAAAACTCTCTTTGCATATGATATGGTGGTATACTTAAAGAATCCTAGAGAATCAACTCAAATTATATGTAAAAACAGTTTTTAAACTTTTGGGTTTTTTTTTAATTTTTGAGTTCCAAATTCTCTTCCTCCATCCTATCACTTCTCCTAGAGAGAGCAGGAGATTAGATATGGATTATACATGTGCAGTCATGTAAAAAATATTTTTATATTGTTGTTCAGTCTTTTCAGTCATGTCTGACTCTTTGTAACCTCATTTGGGGTTTTCTTGGCAAAGATACTGGAGTGGTTTACTATTTCCTTCTCCGGCTCATTTTACAGATGAGGAAACTGAGGCAAACAGGGGTAAGTGACTTGTTCAGAGTCACATGGCTAGTAAGTGTCTGAGACTGGATTTGAACTCTGGAAGATGAGTCTTTCTGACTCCAGGCCTGGCACTCTATGCACTGTGCCACCCAGCTGCCCTATTACCATATTAGCTATGTTGCAAAAGAAAACATAGAAAGCCCCCCAAAAAAAAAACTCAACCAAACAAGAAAAATAAAGAAAAAAAAATTTTTAAAGGTATGCTTCAATCTACATTCAGACTCCATCTGTTCTTTCTCTGGAGATGTATAGCGTTTTTCATCATAAGTCCTTTGGAATTGTCTTGGATCATTGTATTGCTGAGAATAGCTAAGTCATTCACAGAAGCTGATTTTTACAAATTTTAACAAATATGCTGGATCCTATCTAATCTTAACAAATATGATCTCTAAATGAGTGTCATCTTCTTTAAAGTAATCACCGTCAGCATTTACTCACTCATTCCCCAAATGCTGGCATTACTCAGCGCATTCCCCAGAACCTTGGAGTCAGAAGACTTAGATCAAAATCCTGCTGACAGTTATTACTTGGGCAACCTTGGGACCATCACTTAACTTCCCTGGGCCTCAGTTTTCTCATCTGTAAAATAAGGTTGAACTAGGTGGTCTCAGAGGACTTTTCCAGCTCCAGGTCTCTGTGTTCCTATGACCTTCAGAGCAGGTGTAATGAGCCACACAAGGAGCTCTATCCCCCTGCTTCATAGTCTTGGATGGCAGGACCGGCTGGGCTTGGGTCCCAGAGATGTTATGATTCCGAAATACTTGAACCTGGTATGTCACGGTCATGTCACAGTAACACGGCGCATAATAGATTCAGAAACCAGGAGGTTCATCCGAACTTGAAACTGTCTTACTGTGATCTTTTAGTCTGAGACGCCTCAAATCAGGCGCCCACAAAGTATACCACAAAGTATAATAATAATAATAATAATAATAAGAAGAAGAAGAAGAAGAAGAAGAAGAAGAAGAAGAATGGTTATTATTATCGTAAGCATTTATATACAGCTTTACAAATATCTTATTTGAATCTCACAACCACTCTGTGAGGTAGGTGCTATTATTTATCCTCCTTTTACAGATGAAGGGACTGAGGCCAAGCAAGGTTAAGTGAATTGCCCAGGGTCACATGGCCAGTATCTGAGGTGGAATTTTGAACTCAGGTCTTCCTGGTTCCAGGCCCAGGGCTCTACCCCCCATGCCATATAGCTGCCTGTTTTCTTGCTTGACTTCCTTTCCTGGCCAAGATCCTTCCTCCAACTCAAGGAATTGTTTTGGTTTGTTTTTCCTCTTCTAGTCCCCAGCTCTTACCCTTGGTTTAGGTTTAACCCCGCTATGTTCTCCCTGCCTGTGTCATTGAAGGCTTTGTTCCGAGGCTTTTCTTCTTTGGAAGTGACGTTTTCTCCTAATTGCTTCCCACTTAAGCTGTCCCAGGATCCAGATTTTGTCTGTCTTAGAGGAACCAGAAGGGCATTTCTTGTTACCCTTTTAGCCCTTAGTAGCTTAGTATATTGTACAATATTGTAACACTATTCTAACGTTATCCTGGCCCAAAGGCAGCTTGTCAGGAGCTCTGTGCTCACCCATGCTGGCTCGGCTCTCCCTAGCTCTGCGTGCCAACTCCAGGGAGCTGGGAATATAATTCTGGGGTCGCTTTTTGGCAGGGAGACCTCAAGGGCTATCTGCGCAGCTGCCGGGTGGCAGAGTCCATGGTCCCGGATCCCCTGACTCTGCAGAGGATGGCTTGCGAGTTGGCATGTGGAGTCCTGCACTTACACAAGAACAACTATGTACACAGGTAAGCTGGAAACTGTTCCCTTTCCATGGCTGTAGGTGAGGGGCTCACCTTTCTAGGGCTGGTGGCGGCAGAAGTGGTACAGGAGGGGAGGCAGGGGCATCAGAGTTCTATCCTGAGATAGTGGCTAGGTGAGCCTGCCTCATCTTTCCTCAACTGGGTGGATTTGAATCTCCACTGTCTAACTAGAAAAGAGATTGGGGAACCAGGAGCTAGCTTCTGCCATTCTTCTCCCCCGCTCCGCGATGCCTGCCTTTCTCTGCCTTCGTTCCTTTCCAACACATTCTCTTCTTCCCCGCTCTGTGGATTTGGGGAGAATTTGCCCTGGCTTTCACTAGGTCATACTGGGTAGCCTGGGTCCGAGGTTCTTTGCCAAGCACAGGCTTCCCCTTCCCAGAGATTAGGTCCTCTGTATTGGGTTAGCTTACCCCTTTTGGGATTTGTCTTCAGCCTGCTGAGGGAGCTGCTGACCAGGAACCACTGCGGTGAGATGTGCTGTTCTTTGTCTCCAGGGCACACTGGAGAAGGAACAAGGTGAAGAATGAAGGATTTAGGTTAGAAATAGGAAGGAAATTCCTATGGCACAAGCTATCCCTCCTTGGCTCCAGTGGGAAGCTGTGTGGATCCAGGTTCTCTAGGCCTTTAAAAGCAGGACCGAGTCCCATGTAGCTGCACATGTAGGAGGGGTTTTACCTCAAGGCTGAGAATCCTTAGAAGTCCCTAAAGTCAGCATTTAGAACTGAAGGGTATCTAAGAAAGTATTCTCATTTTATAGATGAGGAAACAGGGCCAGAGGTGGGTAGTGACTTGCCCAGAGCCATACAAGGTAGTAAGTAATAGAGCCAGGATTTGAACCCAGGTCTTCTGACTCGAAATCCAGTGCTCCTTCCATGATGCTATGCCCCTGCCTACCACCCTGCCCTGCCAGCTCGAGGATTCTCTGATTCTGATTCTTCCAGGATGCACGAGCGGCCATGGGGGCAGCCTCTCCCCCAAGCACCACTGCTCACCTTGGCCTTCCTCCCCAACAATATCCTGATGCTGAGTGAGCGGCACACAGAGACTCCAGCATCAGTGATTTTGTTGAAGAGGGTGGCTGCCAGCTTCTTCCTGACCTGCACTGCCCTCTCTCTCCTGAGGCCTGTCCCGGGAGCAGGAAGAGGAGTCCCGCTCTTGGATCCTGCCCCCACACTCAGGATACGCTGCTGCCTGGAACCCCGTAGCTTGCTTGGAGCATGGCGGCCTTGGAACGTCCCGGCTGGGAGCTGGCTCCACACCCCTCTGCTCTCCCAACCTGGCCACCAGCCCTGGACCCTTACCCTTGAGCCACACGTCTCTTCTAGGTGCTCTAGTTTTGTCAGGGAAAAGCTCGGAGCCTCGGACCCAGACCACCATAGACATTCCTTTGCACACAAACTGATTTTGGCCAAGGGCATTGCAGGGAGCCCACCTCATCCTTAACAGTAATCTCAGCCTCATCTCCCGTGGGTTCTTTTCATAAGAGAGTAAACAGAATTTTAAATTCATTTATTTTCTTTCTTTCTTCTTTCCTTCCTTCCTTCCTTTCCATTTTGCCCAAATAAATGAACAGTGCCATGGCCGAAAGGCAGGCAGAGACCAGGTACAGCTGAGCAGGTCACAAGGCCTGAATAATGGGAATCAGTGGATGCTGAATGTCTCATTTGGCATTTGCTCTCTTCTTCCTCCTCCTCCTCCTCCTTCTCCTCCCCTCTCTCCTCTTCCTCCCCTTTCTCCTCCTCCTTTTCCCCCTCTTTCTCTTCCTCCTTCTCCTCGTTCTCTTCTTCCTCTCCCACCCCCTCCTCAAATATCCTTTTCCCATTTTCTGCTGTGGAGCCATCTTGTATATATTTTCAGGACAGCCTGAAAAAAAAACCAAACATTGACTGGGCTGCCCTAGATCCAGGTCCCTGCTTTTGTTTCCCAGGGCATTGCTTCCCTATCGCACTTCTGTCTGTAGGCAGGGTGGTCTGCTGGAAAGAGCCCTAGAGTCTGAAGGCCCGAGTGCTGTTCCCAGCTCTGTTCTTGACTCATTTTGTGACCTCACTAGGTGAGGGCTTAACCTCTTCAGGCCTCATTTTTCTCATCTGCAAAATGGAGATAATTATCTTTGTTCTCCCAGGGAAGTTGTGAGGGGATGGGGATATAAATGAGATATGTGCTCTGGAAAAAGAAAATACTGTGTAAATAGGAATTATTCTTCTGGTAGGGGGCACTCAGATTGCTGCTTTCTCTCTTCCCCCCCTCACCTCCTCAACCCTCGTTTCTATCTTGGTTTGTTTTCTTTATATTGCTGGCTACTCAGCAAATTTAGGATGCTGTCAGAGATAAGGAGGACGGGAGGGAGCATACAGATGAGGCAGAGGTGTTTGTGACCAGCACGAGGGAGGAAGTGGGTCCCACTGCTGGGACTGGGGCTCCCTCACCAACCAAGGGGAAAGTCCTTCCTGGCTACCAGGCATCTTTCAGGAGCCATAGCCAGACCACAGGGCAGACTGGGGATGGGAGCAGGGGAAAGAGAGCTAAGCTAATGGCCTACCACATGATCAGCCATGGGGACAATTAATGTTGGTTGTATTATTTTGCATTTAAATGTCTAAATGAAAATGAAAAGCCACCCATACTCTGTTCTCTCCTCTCCTCCATTCTGCTTTCTCCATCTTTTGTTCTGAATGAAAATAGTGATAATAATAATAGTAATAAAATAGTATTTTAGTTAGTATTTATATAATTCTTTAAGATTTATAAAGTACTGTACATATGTTATTTCATCCGATCCTCACAACAACCCTTTGCAGAAAGTAGTTTTATTTCCGTTTGACAGATGAGGAAACTGAGGCTGAGAGGGATTTGCCCAAGATCACACAGCTAGTAAATGTCTGAGGCAGGATTTGAATTCAGGTCTCCTGACTCCAAATTCAGCACTCTGACTACTATACCACCTAGCAGCTTACATCTAAAGTCACTCCGTGTGTGAGGACAACCTGGGAAAACTCCCAGTGGTGGAATTTCTTTTTGAGTCCCAACAAGCTGGTGCTGCTTCCAAAGCTCCGGGCATCTCATGTACATTTTGGTTCAGCAAACAAGCAATTAGTGCCTTTCTCTTCCTTGCTGGGCGACCAGAGGAAGTTTTGGTTGTTTGGGAAACACCCTTGGGTCTCCCACATCACCCCCAGCTTCTTCAGCCCAGATTTGAGTCCTCCTCTTGAATCCTCCTTTCCTGACTCCTGGTCTGACACTGTCCCTCTCTCTCCCCAAATTTACCTTATCTAGTGACCTAGCCTTGAGGAACTGCTTACTTACTGCAGACCTGACTGTGAAAATTGGGGACTACGGCCTATCTCACTGCAAGTACAAAGTAAGTCCATGTGGGTTTGGGGAGACACGAGGGTGCACCCCAGCCCCCTCCCCCATGCACACCCTTTAGCACTCTTTATGATGATTCCCAATAGAACATTCAATGCATTGGGTCAGGCAGGATTCTCCCCCTCCCCCCAAGGTGGGTTGGATCATGGGGCATGTGCAGGGGAGGAGGGCTCTGTTGCTTCCACATGAAGTTTGACATTCTCTCCTCGTGCTGACCGTGCATGCTTGGCAGGATGACTATTTCGTGACGGCCGACCAGCTGTGGGTGCCACTGCGCTGGATTGCCCCTGAACTCATTGACGAGGTGCACAGCAACCTCCTCGTGGTGGACCAGACCAAGGCCAGCAATGTCTGGTGAGGGGGGTGGAGGGAGGGGAGGGGGCACAGGGTGGCAATGGGAGCTGACCTCCTTCCCTCCAACCGTAGGAGCAACGTCTTCATGCAGGACCTTAGGGAGCTCAGCAATACTAAACTGGAAGTCGAGAGACCTGGACCACCTTTATGACCCTGTCACTTTGACACTGCTAGGCTTCGTTTTCCTCCACTGTAAAGCAATGAGGTTAAACTAGATGGGGTCATAGGCTCTTTGCAGCCAAATGTCCCCTTTTCCCATTCAGATTTAGGGAAGAAAAAGGACAGGGCTGACCTTTGACTTCTTAGGGTTGAGGTTTTCCTTTCCCCTCAAAATCTCACTCACACACATTTTTGTACTCTGGGACTGAACTGTGCAAGTGCACTATCTTTGAAGAGGTTAGAAAGGAGATTCTACCTGCTACCATCATTACTTCCCCCTAGATTCCAAGATACACCTTTTGTTCTTTTCCATGTGTATGTATCTGTCTGCGTAAGCGTGTGTGTGTGCATATGTCTGTACATGGGGGGGGGGGCTCAGTCTATGTATATAGTATGTATTCATGCAAATATGTGATACCATTTGCAGTTAATATAGGTTATATACATATTTTGACCAAAGACTAGGCAGATAGTAAACATATTCTTAAAGTATTGTTCTATTTTCACTTATATATTTTCAAAACTGTTAGAAATCTTTTAAGAACATTCAGAAATAAATACAATGATCAGTATGAACCAGTACGGGTTTGCTAAGAAGAAGTCAGGCCTAGCTAACCCCATGGCCTTTTTTCAGATAGAGTTGCTAGGGTGGCAGCTCAGGGAAACACCATATATAAATATAATGTAGCTTGATTTTAGCAAATCATTGCACAAAGTCTCCTTGGCATCGTTAGAATAAGCTGATAAAATACAGGCAAAACGAGCAGTTGGATACAAGTGATTAGAGCCGTACCCTGAGATGAGATAACATATCAGTCAAGTGACACATTTATTAAGTGGCGCTGGTCATAAAGAATGAAATAATCCCTGCTTGCAAGGAGCACAAATAAATCTGTAAATATATACAGAATAAATATAAAGTGAATAAATACAGATACAGGGTAGTTTGGGAGGGAGGGCATTAACAATTGTGTGTGGGGGGGGGGTAGCGACCAGGAACAGCTTCATGCAAAAAATGGCTCTTGAACAGCAAACTAAAGGAAGAGAGGAAGGGGTGAGGAAGGAGGGCATTCCAGGCATGTGGGAAGGCATGGAGATAGGAGACGGAGCGTTGTGTGGGACAGAGAGAAGGGCAGTTTGGCTGAGTCAGAGAATATGTGGGGGGAGTAATGTCCACTGAATCTGGAAAGAGAGTTTGGGGTCAGGTGGTGAAAGGCTTTCAAAGCTAAACATAATGCTTTTTCTTGTTTGTTTCCAGAACATGGCTAATACAAAAAAAAAAAAAGTTAAACATAATAGTTTATATTTTATCCTCGAGGCAATAAGAAGCCAGTGGAGTTGATTGAAAATGGGAGTCACATGGTCACATCTACACCTAAGAAAAATTACTTTTGCAGCAGTGTGGGAGAGGGGCTGGAGTGGGGAGAGGCCTGAAGCAGGGAGACTGATGAGGAAGGTATAGGTGATGGAGGCAGGAGGTGATGAGGGTCTGACCTCAGGTGGGAGCTGGGGGTTGGTGGGGAGGGTATTCTGTAGGCATAAACTGCTGGGTAAATATGTTGCTCTTTTAGATTGGTGGTTCCAGACTTTTGGATCTTGGAAGTCTTTTACGCTCTTAAATATTATTGAATACCTCCCCTGAGACCTTTTGATTATATGGATTATACATGTCGATATGTGCCATATTTGAAATGAAAACATCTCAGTATTTTTATGAAAACAGTTTGGAATGACATTAGAAATGAATGAAGTATTTGAAGAAATGAAAACATCTTATTTTATGAAAATAATTTCTAATTAAATTAGAGATGAAAAATCTTAATATTTTTATGAAAATAGTTTGGAATTAAAGTAGAAATGAAAACATCTTAGTATTTTTATGAAAATAGTTTTGACCTCATGGACCCCCTGAAAGCAGTTACCAGACCACCTTTTGAGAATTGCTGTTTTAGAATATATGTCAACCTAGAAGGCGGTCATTAGTGAAGTGCCACAAGGCTCTGTTTTTAGTTCTTTTCTATTTAGAGCTTGTCTAATTATGGATGAAGAAATGATATGTAATAGTTATTAATAAAGATATGGAAAAATGCTTATCAGACATAGAGATGACACAAAGAAAGGAGATCAGCTAATATGAGAGGTGACAGAATCAGGGTTCAGAATTATTATCATCACTGATATTATCTCATCAGGCTTAGGCGCTGGCTGGCTCAAAGCCAACAACATGAAATTTATCAGGGAAAAGTATAAAGTGAATGTTTGGGTTGGATGGGAGAGATGTGATTAGCATCAAACTTGTGTGCAAGAAGTTCTGGAGATATTTGGTAGCCACAAGCTTAATGTGAGGCAGTAATAGTTGTTTTGAAAAAAAAAAAACCTAATGCAAATTTAGGAAATGTTAACAAAAGCTTAGAATCAAAATCACCAGAAGTATTTGTCCCACTATAACTGAGTTCAAATCCGGCCTCAGACACTTACTAGCTGTGTATCCTTGGGCAAGTGGCTTTACTTCTGTTTGCTTCAGTTTCCTCATCTGTAAAATGGAGATAATAATAGCACCTACCTCCCAGGTATCCCAAATGAGATAAGCATGGTACAAATGTTAACTGATATTATTATTGTCCATTTTGAATTGCTTTCTAGAATGGTGGGACCAAATCATAGTTCCACCAACAGTGTATTAATATTGGGATGCCATATTAGCAGTGTATTTGAGTTAGGACACCACATTTTGAGAGGAAAATGGACAACCTAAATTATATCCAAAGGAGGAGAGACCAGGATAGTGAAGAGTCAAGCAACCATGTTGTCAGAATCTGTTTTGCTATCTACTTAGCTATTTGCTATATGTGTTCTTTATGGAACCTGCATTTGGTGAGAAGGGAACCAAGCCTTGGACATATAGCTTGGGATGCTCCTTCCCATAAGAGATAGCAATCAGGTAGTCAGCTTGAGCCTAAAAAAGCATTTCCCCTAGGCTAACAATATTTGAGAGGAGAATGAATAGGTAAAATTCTAGCTTAGTCCTCCCTTCCCTCTGAGGAGAGCAAATGCGCCAACGTCTGGTACTAGTCTTCTGCTTTTTCTCCTGGAAAGAATAAAAGGCTCCCTGGGAAAAAGGTATGGAGAGGAGAATATAGATGTATTTATTCATGCCCCTATGATAGCTACATCTAGACAAACCCATGTGGACAGACATAGCTGTCATCATCTTCATCTTCCTCATGCTAGCTAGCTATCACTTTCAGATTTACAAAGTCCTTTATGAGTATTATCTCATTTTATCCTCACAACAACCACGGAAGGTAGGTGCTGTTATTACCCCCATGTTGCAGGTGAGGAAACTGAGGCAGACAGAGGTTAAGTGACTTGCCCAGGGTCATACAGCTAATAAGTGTCTGAGACCAGATTTGAACTCAAGTGTTCCAGGTTCCAGGCTCAGTGTTCTATCCATTGCACCACCTAGATGGCCAGCACCTCAAAATCAACATATCCAGGAACAGAGTCAACATTTCCCCCAGAAAAGGACCCTTGTCTTCTGAATCATTTGTCATCTCTGACTCTTCCCTTTCCATGGCCCCACACATTTAGTGATTTGCCAAGTCCTGTCGGTTTTACCCACACAATGATTCTCACATCCTGTGACTCTCCACTCATCGAGCCTCCAGTATAGTTCAGGATTATTATCAATCAATCAATAAACAGTCTATTGATAAACATTTATTAAATGCCTACGGTATGCCAGGCACTATAATAGCTTCCTACCTTTTTTCCTTTCTCTAAATTGACATTTCTTCTTTCTCATCTCAACACTTCAAGGATCTATGACTTCATCAATAATGCAGATGACAGCCCTTATTTCCCTATTCCCTATCATCCCTATTCCCTGCAATTTACTTTATATTCTTGTCAGACTGGCCTAATAGCTGTTCCCCAATCTCCTTCCATATCCCCTTTTCATTGCAATTTTCTTGAGCTCTTCCCTCTAGTGCATTCCCACCACATCTCTAGCTATCAGTATGACACAGTAGAAAGAGCTTTGGGTTTGGAGTCGGAGGACCTTGGATTCAAATCCCTGTTCTTCCATTTACTACCTGGGTGATCTTGGACAAGCCTATGGGCCTCAGTTTCCTCTTCTGTAAAATGAGGGCTTGAACTAGATAATCTCTAAGGGTAGGGAGAGATCTAAATAGATCACAGATAATAAATCTATGCCACCTCCTCTATGAAACCTTCCTTGGTCTTTCCTCCCATTTCCCAGCTAAAAATAATCCCTCCCTCAAATTAAGGATGTCTGTATTTACTTTATCATTTTTTTTGCTATTCCATTGTTTCAGTTGTCTCTGACTCTTCATGACCCCATTTTGTGGGGTTGGGTTTTTTTTTTTTGCTTTTTTGGCAAAGATATGAAGTAGTTTGCCATTTCCTTCAGCTCATTTTACAAATGAGGAAACTGAGGTAAAGCAAGGTTAAGTGGCTTGCCCAGGGTCACACAGTAAGTGTCTGAGGCCGGATTTGAATTCAGGTCTTCCTGACTTTAGACCTGGCACTCTATCCACCATGCCACCTACCTATCACATTTTACTTTTTATCATATTTATTTGGGTGTCTGTTGTATCTTCCCTGTTCAGAGTATAAGCTCCCTGAGGCAGTTTAAAGGGACTGTCATTTTTCATTTTGTGCCCCCAGTGCTGAGCAAAATGCCATGCACAGAGTAGATGTTTAATAAATGTTGAGCTGAGTAATCAAAGGGCAATTTTGGTAAAGAGGGACTAGGCATTTTCTGTTTTGCTCCATGATATAGAATGAGGAGTAATGTAGGAACTCGATATAAGAAGAAGGGAGGTTTGGACATAACATAAGAAAGAATTTAGAAACCCTTAGATCCCTCTAGCAATGGAGCAGTCAGTATGAGTCATGAGGAGGTACACCCCGGTTCCCTGAAGAGTTCAACCAGATATTGGATGCCCATCTGTGGGGGATGCTAGAGAGGGCATTTCAGCAATGGGTATGGTCAGGCTAAATGACCTCTAAAATCCATTCTAACCCTAAGCTTCCATTACTCTATGACCCTTCAAGCATAATGATTTGCATATTAAAAATTACAGCTAATGCCTTGACTGCAGATAGGTGAAAGGGCCCAGAAGCCTGAGTTTTTGTCCTGGTTCTGCTCTCAAGTGGTTGTGTGACCTAGGACAAGGCATTTCCTTGGGGCCCCCAAGTTCCCATAACTTCATGAGATTGTAGAACTTACGTCAGGAGGGAATCATCTTAGAGATAGACCATTGAATCCTGGGTACCCCTACATCTCTTCCCATTGGAACATTCTGTGTTTTGAAACGATTACCTAGGTGGGGTTCTCTGAAATGATGCCATAGATAGAGAGTGAGTCTTGGAGTCAGAAAGACCCGAGTTCCAGTCCCACCTTAGATACTTATTTACTACATGTGTGACCTTGGGCAAGTCATCGAATCTCTGTTTGCCTCAGTTTCCCATCTGTAAAATGGGGAGAATAATAACACCTAGCCCCCAGGCTTGTTGTGAGGATCAGATGAGATAATAACTCTGAAGCACTTAGCACAGTACCTAGAACAGAGGTGGGGAACCTGCAGTCTTGAGGCCACATGTGGCCCTCTAAGGTCCTCAAGTGCGGTCCTTTGACTGAATCCAAACTTCACAAAACAAATTCCCTTAACAAAAGGATTTGTTCTGTAAAAACTGGACTCAGTCAAAAGGCCGCACCAAAGGCCTCGAGGCCGCAGGTTCCCCACCCCTGACCTAGAACGTGATAAGTGCTATATAAATGTTAGTGATAATGGTGATGATGTGAGACTTTGTCTGCCTCACTTTCTTCATCTTTAAAATGGGAATAATAATACCATCCACTTCTTAGGGTTATTGTGAGGATCAAATGAGATAATATTTGTAAAGGGCTTTGCAAACCCTAAAACACTAGATAAGTGCTAGCTAGTATTTTTTAAAGACTTTTTTCTTCCATAGCCTTAATCAGAGCAGAATTTTTTACTCCAATCAGGATATCACTTAGCCTTTTCAGGAAAAGTAGAAACAGCTATGGTTCAGAGCTTGCTAATTGCTTTTTTGTTTTTCTTGCCTGTGCACTGAGTGGTTTGTGGCCTCACTGGCTGCCTCCTTCCACCCCCTGCAGGTCGCTGGGCGTGACAATCTGGGAGCTGTTTGAGCTGGGTGCCCAGCCCTACCACCACTACTCCGACCGCCAGGTGCTCACCTACGCCATCAAAGAGCAGCAGCTCAAATTACCCAAGCCCCAGCTGAAGCTGTCACTGTCAGACCGCTGGTGAGGAGATACACACGGCTTTCCTTTCTTCCTCCTCCTCCTCCCGCTCCCCAAACACCCTCCAGAAATGATCCCTCTGGGGCTTTCTGCTGGGATTTCCACTGTACCACCGCCCGAGCAGCCCTTGATGTTCAGCTTTCCCCTGGATCAGACCCCCTAGGAGACTTCACTCAGAGGAAGAGGGCTTTAAGGCACTGCCAGCAGGGGTGACAAAGCCCAGCACCTGGCTGTGTTCTCTAGCTGTGTAACCTCGAGCAAGTTGCTTTACCTCCCTGGTCCTCGGTTTCCTCATTTGTAACATAAGGGGTAAGGACTAGATGGTCCCTTCCAGGTCCTCTGCTATCTCTATGATCTCTATGCCAGATGACTTTTATGGTGCCCTCCATCTCTGGCATCCTGTGTCTCCATGGTTCTTTGTTTGGAATGTGCCACATGTAGTGGTCTGATGCTAAGAGCTTGGTGAAGGGGGTAGAATGCAAGGATTCAGAAGAATGTCATTCCAGCACAGAGTCGAAGGGGAGAGACAGTATATCCTTCCCTTCCACACACACATGTGTAGGCATGCTCTAAATATGTGATACATACAGTAGAAATATAGCATAGACTGCCTGGGAGGGCTGAGGGGATGAGTTGTGCAATGATTGAAGTCAAATTGTACAGTCAAGGACAGGTTATTCCAGTTGGTGAATTTGGAAGCAGTGGCCACAGTGGCTTCCTGTCACCCTGAGTGGAAGTGAGGAGGCGTGGGAGGCAGGAGGGTGAGGCTGGAGTGAGCTATATCAGGGACAGACCTAAGCGCCCCATCTCTACCCTGGGATTGACAGGTATGAGGTCATGCAGTTCTGCTGGCTCCAGCCAGAGCAGCGGCCCACAGCAGAGGAGGTGCACCTGCTGCTGTCCTACCTGTGTGCCAAGGGGACCACGGAGGCCGAGGAGGACTTTGAGAAGCGATGGAAATCCCTGAAGCCCAGCGGGACCAGTGGAGCCAACCACTTGGGGAGTGCGGCTGAGCTGTCCTCCAGCTTCCCGCTCCTGGAGCAGTTCTCGGGGGATGGCTTCCATTCGGATGGGGATGACATCTTGACAGTGATGGAGACCAGCCACGGGCTCAACTTTGAGTACAAATGGGAACCCAGCCGGGCAGAGGCCTTCCAGACTCCTGCAAGGACCCTCAGCCCCCGCCATGCTGCTCACTACCAGGACCTCTACTACCCAGCTAGCTCCTCCACCAGCCACCTGAGCCTGGGGGTTTCACCTTCCTGCTATGAGTGTCCACCACCTGGGGTGGTGCCCATCCTCAGTGCTCACAGCCCTTCCGTGAGCAGTGAGTACTATATTCGCATCGAAGAACCAGCTGACTGTGATCTAGACTTCACCATGTGTTCCTCTAGCCCTGAGTGCCAGCAGGCATCTCCTGAGGCAGCCACACCTTGGCATGACAAAGAAGAACCCGTGGGGGGCACCTATGACTCAGACAGCAGCCCTACTGTATCACTGACTATGGAGCCCCTCCTAGGGCAAGGACCCAGTGGGGAGGGGCCCTGGGATCACCCTGACTACTACTCCCATATGAGCTGTAGCAAAGACTCGCTCTGTTACCACCCTTCCCCTGCAGGGGACTCACGGACTGAAGACAGTTTGTTGGGGGAATGCAGGGAGGGAGCTGGCAAAGACTGGGGCTTGCCAGGCTTCCACCAGGCTTTTTTTGAGGACCCACTGGGAGTGTCCCCCTCAGGGAATTCTGTGACCCAGGAGTCACCAGGTGGGGCCCAGGAGGCAGTGGTGGGAGAATCAATGAAACAGGAGGCACCAGGTAGCCCTCCTGAATCAGTGATGATAGAGTTGGGTGAACGGGAGAGTCAGCCCTGCAGCGGCTCCCAACACGAGGGTGCAGAGGAGGCAAGCTTGGCTTCCCAGCAAAGACACTGGACCTCAAATGTGTCTGCCAACAACAACATCAATAGCAGCTGTGCCCCCGATTCCTGGGCTGCTCACTTTGTAGACTCCTACTTGGGATCAGGAGAGAACCTAGGGGCAGGACCTGATCCATGTGAGCTGCCTGCCCCAGACTGCCTACCAGACCTGCCCCTTCCTGAGGGTGAGGGGTTGGAGATGGCTTTTCCTGGGCAGGAGCTGGGGAGCCCGCCTAGCTTTGCTGAACACTTTGAGGCAGAGGAGGACCCAGCCCCAGTTGCCATCTCTCCCTCACAGATGATAGACATAGAAACTGCAGAGAGAAGGGGTATAGATGATGGGGCTGATCAGAAAGCCACGGAGGAAGCCATGGCCCCTTCCAGTTCTGCAGCCCAGTCTCCCTTGCCCTCTCCACCACAAGGCAGAGCCCTGCTTGTCTCCAGGGCAGCCGGCGATCCTGTCGTTCCTAAGCCAGATTCCCCTGTGCCATGGGACAGTAGCCAGAGTATCAGCAATGAGCCAGACCAGACACTGGACAGCAGTGGTAGCTTCCCGGAGCTAGAAGGGCCAGGTAGTGAGGATGAAGACACGACCGAGGCCACCTCGGGTGTCTTCACAGACTTTTCCAATGACTTCCTTATCGAGAAGCCTGACACAACCCCCGCATTCCGGTCCCTGCAGAAGCAGGTGGGAACGCCGGATTCCCTGGAGTCACTGGATATCCCATCCACGGCCAGTGATGGTGGGGAGATATATAGCCCAACGGTGTCCTACCCTACCACTGGGCAGCCTCGGGCCCTGGACAGTGGCTATGACACAGAGAATTATGAGTCACCTGAGTTTGTGCTAAAAGAACCCCATGAACCCCGGGACCCCGAGGACTTTGGGCCCCTAGGAAAGGAGGATGAGAGCCCTGGCTTAGAGATGCGGCTTTCTTCTTCTATCAGTGCTGAGCTGCATGGTCTGAGTGAGAAAAACCCCTACCGAGACTCAGCCTACTTCTCTGACTATGACACAGAGACAGAACGGCCTGCCCAGAGTAGGGAGGAGGATGAGGACAGTGAGGCTGGGGAAGGAGAGTCCAGCCCGGTGGGCTCTGAGTCCCAAGGGCTCTCTCCCAACAATCAGGAAATACCAACAACAGAAGAAGCAGGTGCTCAGCTTCCTCATTCGCCTTCTGGGGAGCCTTCTCCAGAGGTGACAGTCAGCCCAACCATCAAAGGGCAAGACCAGGAGAGCCCCAAGGACCCAGCGGAAGGGTTGGCCCCTGCCCCTACCCCTGCCCCCGCTCCCACTGCCCCTGGCCCTGGCCCAGCTCCTGCCCCATCCAAATTATTCTTCCTGACTCCTGTCCTGTCAAGTCCAGAGGACAGTGGGGTTGGGGAAGGCTGCCACAAACCCCAGGAGGCCCCAGGCCTGTTCTCCACTTTGGTGGACAAGGAAACTTGGGACCTGGTTCCTGGGGCAGAGGTGCAAGAATGGAAAGAAGCCATGGCCTGTGAGATTCCCCTGGGTCCCAAAGTGAAACCTGGAGAGAAGCCGGCCCCGCGTCCAACCCCTTTGCGCCTGGACCTGTCGGACCTCCCAGCACCCAAGGAGAGCCGGCCGGCGGAAGAGGAGGAGGAAGAGGACTCGGAGGAGAGCGATGAGTCCGACGAGGAGCTATGCTGCTACAACATCCAGGAGCAGAGCGAGGAGAGCGAAGAGGAACCAGCTGCTGTGCCCATTGTGGTGGCAGAGAGCCACAGTGCCCGCAACTTACGCAGCCTCCTCAAGATGCCCAGCCTCATGTCCCAGTCCTTCTGTGAGGACCTGGACCGCAAGAAAAAGGCTGTTTCATTTTTTGATGATGTTACTGTCTACCTCTTCGATCAGGTAAGCCGTGTGGCTCGGGGAGTGGCCATTAGGACTTCTGGGAGGGGAGGGAGAGATGGCTCTGTGTCCTTGCTACAGAGACATTGGATTTTGGTATAGAAAGGAGGGCAGAGGGTATAGCTAGGGTGGGTTTGTCTCTGACGCCTCTGGGTGAGAGGGCCTAAAAGCTCTTCCATACCTTCAACCCAGTGCCAGAAATCCAGATCATGCACTGGAGAGAATACGATGAGATGCCTCTGATTTGCCAGAGTTGGGAATTATCTATTTCCCCTCTTGAGGTTTCTGGGTAATTGTCCACTTCTCCCTCCTTTCCAGGCCCTCAAGAGGTTGGGAGGGATAGAGGAAGTAGTTGCCCTGATGGGAAGTGATACCCAGCCAAGGTGGGCATCTCACACTTGTGCCACTTCTGTTCTTTACTGACACCTAGGAAAGCCCCACAAGAGAACTTGGGGAGCAGAACTTCCCTGAGGGGAAGGACTCGGCTTCCTCCTTCCTGCCAAGCAGCCCCAGTACCCTGAGCCCATCTGACCAGCTCAGCGCAGCAGACAACTTCTCTGACAGGACAGTCTCTGAAGAGAGTGAGCCTGGTGGGGAAGGTGGGCGGGTGGCCTGGTCTGGCCTGGGAAGTGGGAGCATGGAGCTTGGTAGGTTTTCCCTGTATTCCACAGGAAACCTTATGTTCCCAAAGTAGCCCTTCAGCTATTTTCAGGTGGTATGACCCTCCTTTATCAGGCCAGGCAACCCTACCAACTCTCACCCTTTGGGATGATGATTTCATCTTACCCTTACTATTCCCAGGTAACCCTTTTGCCTATATTTGTTCCCCTCTGTAGTCCTTTAGGCTCCCACTGCCCCTGCCTGTGATGGCACCTACACTACAACCCCATGATTCCAACTGTCTCTGCTTCTGAGTGTCATTTTTTTTTAAATTGTGGCCTCTCTTTTCTGAGGAACCACATAAATCCATCAAAGAAAAAGAGATTCAGACTTCAGGTCTAAGGGATGATCAGATTGCCTTGAGTAACTTCTCAGGGCATCCGAGGTGTCAGGGGAGAGCAGGCTAGAGAGATGGGCCTCCTCCACAGCAGGCCTCTTTATTCTGTCTTTGTTCTTTCTTTCCCTTCCCACACCCCTGGACCAGGGAGTTCACTAGGGAGACCTGGGCATTGGGGGGAAAAGGGTGAGTGACGGGGCCTTCTTTACAGGTGGTGGGTTCGAGTGGGATGATGACTTCCCACTAATGCCAGCCAAGTCATCTTTTGTGTCTTCACCGGGGCCTGGAGTACCGGACCCCGTGCTGCCCAACCTGGCGACCCCCCCGAAGCAGGTGCTGCCCGTCCAGTTTTCCCGCTTCACTGTGTCTCCTAGCCCAGTCTCACGATTCTCCATCACGCATGTATCTGACTCGGACATCGAGTCTGTAGGAGGTAAGGGACCAGGGATGGGGGTGAGGGTGGAGCAGAGAAGAAAACAGGGAAAACTTACTACCAAGGATGGGTCTAAGATGTGTAAAAACCACAGGTCAGGGGTCATAGAAGGATCAATGTAGAGCTGAGAGGGACCTTAGGAATCATCTGAGCCAGTCATCTTATTTTAAAGTTGAGGACAATAAGGAGGCCCAGGGAAATTAAGAGTTTTTAACCCAGGGCAACCAAGTGGTGAGTGGAAGAACCAGGATTTGAACTTGGGTTTTCCAGTTCCAAGGCCAAGGCTTCTTTCTGCCGCATCATGTTATCCTCACTTTTTTTTTTTTAAGGCAGTGGGAGTGAAGTGACAGGCCCAGGGTCACACAGCTAGTAAGTGAGGCTGGATTTGATCTCCAGTCCTCGACTCCAGGGCCAGTGCTGTATCTACTACGCCACCTAGCTGCCACCTTAGCCTTATTTAAAAAAAAATGTTTTCAATTACTGAAAATATCCCTTCTCTCCTTCTCATTTTCCCACCTTCCCAGTTGGAAAAAGGAAAGAAAAACAAAACCACTGTAACAAATATGCAGGGTCAAGCAAAACAAATTCCCCTTTTGACTGCATCCCCCCAAAATTGCCTCAGTCTGTTCCCTGAATCCAACCCCATTCTGTCAGGAGGTGCTATCCTCATTTCAGTGGAGATTTAAGAGTTACAGAGTACTTGCATCACAGCAAAGCAAGATGATGCAAGTGTTGGTCTTCTGATTTTACTGAAGAGGAAACTGAGGCGCAAACACGTGACGTGTCAGCTCATTTAGTTACCAAAGGTCAGATGTAGGATTTGAACCCAAGTCTTCCTGATTCCAATCCCGCCTTCTTTGTACTGCTCTGCTCTGCCTTGACTTGAGATTACACATTTACCTATGTGCCTTTAGGGTAGGGACTGTGTCTACAAGTAGTAACTTGTCTGAAGGAGGACAAATGGCTTTGAATTCACCCGTGTCTTCTGGAGGATCTGTGACACGGGAGAGGGAGATTGACATAGTCTGCATTAGCACCCAAGAACAAAACTGAGACCAAGGTCAGGAGGGAAGGGGGTGTACAGAGAGGTAGATTCTGCTTCAGAGTAGAAGAAATGGTTATAGCAGACCAACAACGCCTTATGTGGCAGTGAGGGCTCCCCATCGTTGGATGTATGTAAGCTAAGTTAAGGGACTAGGCTGCCATAGAGGGGCTGCTGGACCAGATGACCTGTAATGAGCCTTTGAAGATCCTTGGATTTTATGACACCATGGTCCCTAGTATGGTTCTGATTGTCTTCCAACTCAAGGAAACCAGCCCAGAAAAAGATCCAGGGACGGAGAAGCAGCTTGAGCCTACTTTGGGAGCAGGGTCAATAGTCAATAAACATTTATGAAGCACCTACTGTGTGCTGGTCCTAAGCTCTGGAGGCATTGTGCCAAGCATACAGTGCTGAAGCAGGAGTCCAGGTGTCCTAATGTACCTGCCCCCTGAATCCTCCTTCTCCTCTGAGGACCCAGAGGTGCCTTCTCCTTTCCCCTCTCCCCAAGCTGTTAGGACCTAATCTCCCTCTGCCAGGCCTCAAAAAGAGTGATCTGTTCCCCTCTGCTCCCACCCCCTGTCTCATCCCTGGCCATGTTTCTTTTGAGAAAGCCCACAGATGACTTTCTAATCTCTGAGGGAAGCAGAGCTATTCCTTAGGACAAGGACTGAGGGTTCCTGGGCCAAAGTGGAGATCAATACAGACAGTATAGGGGAGAGAGTGGACCTTACTAGCTGTGTGACTGTGGGTAAGCCAGCCCCCCTTCTCTGGACCTCAGTTTCCTCATCTGCAAACTGGAGAGTTGGACTAGATCACCTTTGCCTATTAACCTTCCGGTGCGAATCTTAAGTAGTTGTGTGTACGTGAAGAACACTGGATGTGGACCCAGAGGACTCGGGTTTGGATCCCAGCTCTGCTAGTGGGAAGGCCACTTGTCTCTAAGCTTCAGTTTTCATCATCTCTGGAAGGGGTTACACTGAGTGACTGCAGCTCAAAAATCCTATGGCCCTCTGAGCAGGACCTGGGGAGGTTATGAGCTAAGGAAAGGACACCCCCTGGAGCGTCTGCTCTTCAGAAGCATATGGTCTAGATGATCAATGGAATACCCTCCTCCCATAGTGACACAGCCCCATGCTGGCAAGACAGGTAATGATGATAGGCTCAGAATCAGGTGGATTAGGCAAGAAGTCTCCTGCCGCAGAGGCCTCCAGCCAGATGTGGAAGGAAGGGAAGGAAAGAATGTGTAGGGTATTCGCCTACCTGTCCTCTGAGACCTGCCTATCAATTAGTTAGTCAATGAACTGATTTATTAAGAGCCTACTAGGTGCCAGGAACTGCCCAAAGCCCTGGGGATACAAAGAAAGGCAAGAGACAGTTCCCAATCGAATGGGAAAGACAACATACAAACAATATGTACAAACTGCATACAGCATAAAAGGGAAATAAGCAAAAGAGGGAGGCGTCAGAATGAAGAGGGATTGGGAAAGCCTTCCTGTAGAAGGCAGGATTTTAGTCAGGACTTATAGAAAGCCAGGGGGCCGAGCTGAGGATAGAGAACGTTTCAGGTGTGGGAGATGGTCAGTGAAAATGTCAGGAGATGGAGTGTTTTGTGCCAGGAATGGCAAGAAGGCTGGTTTCACTGGAGAGGTGGCAGGACACAAGGTATCAGAATCAACAATCACTTACTGTGTTCTTTGGGACAGCGTGTGAGATGCTGGAAAGGAAACAAGATATCCACAACACGGCTCATACTTTAGTTAGGGAAACAGGATCCATTATGCAGGGTGAGGTAGGCGAGACAGTCATAAACAGGGTTGTGGCAAGTGGCTAGGCTGTGACCAGAGTAACCATCTTCTTCCTCCTGTTTCAGGAAGCAGTGAAGATGGTGACAGAGAATGACTTGGGCCTGGAAGGCACTTCAGAATCTATAGTGCTGGCATGGCTCTGTGGACCAGGGCAAGAAGAGATGGCCCTCCTGGCCCCAACACGAGGAAGTGGAAGAGATGGGGGGGGAGGGGGGTTGTCCAGAACTCGGCTCTATTTTTTTAGACAGATTTTATCAGAGGCATTTGGTTTGCTGCTAGATCACAGAGACATCACCCCCCACATCCCCGCCTTCTGCCCCTTTGTCCGGTACAGGTGCAGCCACTGACGATGGTCTATGTGGACATATGTGCTTGAAGGCATGCGGGGGTTGTGTATAAATATACATATATAAATGATAGCGTTAAAGGGTAGACTTGCAGAATCCTGCTCCCCTTCTTAGCCTCCCCTCTCGAAGGGGGTGGCTACCCCCCCAGTACTGCTTGCTCCTCCCTGTGGTCTGTGACTTCTCGGGGCTTACCCTTTACCGCCGCCCCAGTGCCTCGTGCTCCCCTGCTTACTAGAGCTGTAGTGGGGGTGGGAGCCTGTGTCAGCCCCTCCCAGGGCCTTCCTCTCTCGGACTCTGCTGTACATACACTGGATTTCTGAATCTCCACGCTAGTGTCATTCAGTATTACTGTCTCCCGTGACCTCCCACTGGGACATGTTTCTACCTTGTCTCCCTCTACAACTCAGATGGCTGGTTTCCTGAGCTGGCTCCTAGCCTGACCCTCCCTGTCCTCCTACCCTCTTGCCTAGCTTCTGCCAGGAGCTGGCTCTGCTGGAAGATGGGGCAATGGGAGGGACGGTTCTCTTTTTTTATTCCCTAGTTTTGTTTTTGTCCCTTAGACCTTTCCCAAGCAGAAGTCTGGGCAATATTTCCCAAGCAGCTGTTGCTATCTGGCTGGAGCTGGGGAGGAAGAAAACTAATGGGTCTTTCCCTCTAGAAAATGAGGTTTCCTCACCCTAGGGCCTTGGTGCTTTGGGGCAGTGGGGATGGGTGGGTGTTGCTACCAGCACAGCCTCATTCATCAGTGACACTATGAGACTTCTAGGGTTTCTTGTCCCTCTGCCACAGGCCCTATTCTGAAGGTTGATTGTGGGGAGCAAGAACTGAGGGGGAGAGTTTGGGCACACAGGCAGTAAATGGGAGAGCTTCCTGGGTTGTAACTGCCCTGAGCTGCCAAGGAAAGTGAGGAGGGGACCCCTCCCACTCAGCTGTCCACTTCCGTGTTCAGTGTTGGGATCTTTATTCCCCCTACTCAGGGGCCAAGGAACAGGTTGGGCGGGCTGGACAAATGGGACTCTGTGGGAATATTTTTGTAACGGCTAATGCAGAGAGAATGAGACCATGATAATTTTAAGTTATTGTTGCCAAAGAGATGTAAAGAGTTTATTGAAGGGGTGGGAGGTGGGGGGAAAGGGACCTTATTTTTGGTTTGTCCTTTTTTTAAAAAATTATTTGTTTGAGGCTTAGAACGCTGGTGCAATGACTTCCCCCCCGCCCCCTTTATTTAAAAAGAAATTAAGCTAAGAAAAAAAGCCTTTAAGCCAAGAGAGTGTGTTCTCCTTTGGGGCCAATAGACCAACCCCTGTAGTAGGGTCACAGCCTTGGGAGATGAGAGTGGGGAGAAGGGCAGGTGAATGATAAGTGTGTGTATGTGTGTGGGCTTATATCGTGCAAGAGCATCATGGGGGAATATGGGGGTGAGGAAGTATGTATCTGTCTGTGGGTGATCCACATGTCCCAGCGTGTGTGTGCGTGTGTGTGTGTGTGTGTGTGTGTGTGTATAAGTAAACAGGTGTGCTTCGTGTGTGTCTCTGGGCAATGACAGCCTTACATACTGAGAAGGGTACGGTTCACAGTCCCCAGCTTGGGTATGGAGACTGTTGATTGTTTTTCCATGGTGTGTGTGTGTGTGTGTGTGTGTTCTGGGGTGATTCAAACATGCCATAGCTTGAAAGTCCAGCCCACTTGGCATCTGTTCCTAGAAAGGTAAGAGATATCGAACCCCCAAATCCTTCAGGGGTTTCTGAAGCTGGGCCCTTCCCTATCCCCGAGCATGCTGGGTTCTAGGTCTTGGGACGTTGCTGACTCAGTGTTCCCCCTTGCTGTCTCTGAAAGTCCTAGAGGCACTGGGGAGACAGATGGAGGGAGGGAATGGGACAAACCTGAAGGGAAGTCTGAGAAGAGGCAGACCTGACTGTGGTTTTAATGGCTGCAGGTAAAATCAGTCAACAGAATATACGTCTCCTCTGACAGATGAGACGATTAGGGATTAAGAAGCCAATCAGACCAGCTCCTGGGTTCCCCCTTTTGTTAGAGACAGCCTAGCTAAGCCTTTAGGTAGGAGCAGACCTCCTCTTCCACCAATCAGGCTCTACCCTCCTACCCCTTCTTTTCTGGGAGTGATCTCATTTCCATATCAACATCTGAAGTACAGACATGCCTGTCTCCTCTCAGCTGGCTGTTCTTTAGGCTAAACTATCCCAAACTTTGAAGTTTTCCCTAGTGCTACCAGGCAGGACCCTAATGAATCCTTTTTGTGGTCTCCAAGGCCAAACTTAAGAAAGTTACCATCTGAAGGCAGACTTGGAATGGGCCCTGAGTTTCAGCTCTCAGGGCAGGAAAAGGAATGGTCTGGTTTTAATGAGAGGAAAACAGGACAACAGGACTAAAACTGTGGCTGGAGGTCAAGATGGCACCTGGGATTGAAGAAGTGTGGGGCTTCTGGTACAGATTGGGAGGGTGGTCCTGGTAGGGAAAGAGGCCCTTGGTGACCAGAAGCTTTCTAGACCATCCTCATATTGCTGGAAAATAGGGAACACCCTGATTAACTCCACCACTCACCCACGCCAGCCCTTGAGCCACCAATGAGTAAGGTGAGAGTGGGGAGAGAAAGAAATTGGTGAAAAAAAAATGCCTGAAAATGGTTTGTCCCTTGCATGCCAAGGGGGGTGGTGGTAGTCCCAGTCCCTCTGCCCTAGCTCTAAAAACAAAAAACCACTTCAGATCTTGACAAAAGTGGGTAGGAGGCAGCTGGGAGCTGGTGGAGGTATTGGGGGAGGGGGCAGCAACATTCTTCTGGGACTATGGGAGGATACAGGAGTCCCTTTGTCCTGGATGGCCCCCACTGCTCTAGACAAAGGTGGGGGATAAAAATGAATAGAATGAGAATAGCTTCCCTGCAGGAGAGGGGCAAGTGCCCCATGCCAAGCTATTAAGCAATTTTCAGGGGCTCTGGCCACTGCCATCCTCCTCTCCGGGTCAGGAAAGCTTTTATTAGCCCTAGGCCCTCTCGGACAATCTAATTGCCTTGTAACTGTTCCTTTACTCTGAAGTAGGTTTGAAGATTCCCCTTCATACCCGTTTTGGTGGTGTCTCCTTTTTGTCAAGTCTTTGATAAACTCAACAGATATTTAACAAATAAAACAAAATGTTACATCCCAGCAGGGCCTTGCCCTCCACCTACTTCCCACCAAGCAAACAAGGTACATTCCTTAGAGGAAGAAGCCACAAGGTCCCCAAATATCTCTGCCAATGCTCACTGAACCTGAATGCCAGGAGTTGGAAGGCCAACTCCAATCTAAATTCTCCTCTCGTTAGAGCCTTGTTCATTGGTTCATTATGAAATAACAGGCTAGGGCTAATTTTTTTCAAAGCATTTGTACATCTGTTTCACTGAGTCCTCACCTAAGACCTGGTTAAAAGTAGTTAGGAAAGATGAGGAAATGGGGGCCCAGAGTTAAGTGAGCACCAGTGACTGCCAGGCCTACTTCTCAGCTCACTTGGCTCTTAAATGGGATGGAGTGGTTCTGATCCATCTGTAATCAAAGCCATTCTCATATCCAGTCCCGGGCGTGGCTCCTATCCATAAGGCAAGCTGGCCAGTGTTAGAGATACAGTCTCTAGCTAAGAAATGGGGGTGGGGGGGTGCAGTGGACAGAATGCAGACTTAACTGGCCTGCCAGCAGCATCGACTTCCCCAACCTTGGCCCCATTTAGCACCGCATGCCAAGCACCTGAACTCCCACGGGGGCATGGTGAGTACAGAATGACTGTTCTTACCTTCAATCTAAGAATGGAGTAACTCCCAAGCCTTTGGATGTTGTGGCCTAGAAAGCTGCTCCCAGGAGCAGTTCAGGAAGGTGAGTGAACAAAGAGGTAAGAGTTAGAGTCCAATCCATGCCTGACCGAGGATCCCTGGTACAAAGTGGTTGGGTTGGAGCTCTCCAGTGAGGAGGCATCCCATTCCACTTTTGGACAGCTTTAATTGTTTAGTTTCCCCTTAAATCAAGCTTGTTTGCCCCCTTTACCTTTAGTCCTAGTTTTGCCCTGAAGAGCTGAGCAGAACAAATATAATTTTTCACAGGGCAGTCGTCTGAAAGTTGGAACCTCCTTGATAATCAAAGGATCTGGGACCAGGGGACTGGGGAAAACTGCAAACAGCCTTCTCTCCCACAGGGGCCTTGCTCATGCCCTCATGCTAACGGCTTGAACCCCTCTTCCTGCCATCCCCGCAGTTATCAGATGTCCAGTTCTATGTTTCCCTTCTGAAAGCCAGGGGCTTCCCTCCTGGATCCTGTTGCTCCAATCCCCATCCCCCAATTTGTGCCAAACAGGGGCAGACAGGGTACCTTCATCGAGCTGTTTCTTCTTCCATTTGTAAAATGGGTGGTAAGGGGAATTTGGCTTCTAGAGCATCTGTCTACGCCTCTGGTATTCCTGTTTTGTTTTTTCTCAGCGTGTGTATGGGGGGAAGGATATTAATAGGGATGGTAGGAGATGGGCAGGAAGCCCAAATCACAGTCTAACTCTGACCAAGTTCTGGGCTGCGGAAATGGCCACAGAAATTGGAGTTTCAGGGAGAAGCCTGGTTTCCTTTTAAACCAAGAGGTAAGCTGTGGAGCAGGTGGGAGCTGGTTGTATATTTGGGCAGGAAGGGGCTCAGCGCTCCCTCTCCCTGGGCTACCCAGGCAAGCCCAGGGGAATGGTCCTACAGTCCTGCCCTGCCAGGTCTCCCTCCCATCTTGTCTGATGGGTAGGTTGGGACTAGGACAGCAGGGGAACCAGGACCAGGTGCTGCTGGTCTAGACCCTCCCCCCAACCCCCAAATACTACATAAAGGCTGCATGAGGCTCAAGCTGTCTTGGATATTTTTATTAAGATAAAGGCTATTATTATTATTGTATATTTTATCAATACGGGTCATAATTGCTGTATTTTTTACCAGTGCTGATTTCCATACAGCTTCCCAGCATGTGTGTAAAATATCGTTGGTCTGATAATAAAGTTTTTAAAATATCTTAAACTAGGCTCTCTCTGTGGTCAGATGGCCCCTGCCCATTAGGGTGGCCACTTCTGAAATGGTGGATGGGAGAGGGGTGGGGACAAGTAACCATAGCAAAGGCTGTCTTGGTACCTACATTTGACCCTGCCCAAATCCCCAGGAAAGAAAGCCAGTAGTGAAGCCTAGAGGAAAACCATGTTAGCCCCAATCATAGCAACCCCTGGGGTGGCAAGAAAAGAATGTGCTCTGATAGAACACATACATAGTAATGTAGCTGGCATTTATATAAAGCTTTGCAAGAGCTTTATAAACATCCCATTTAATCCTCACAATGATCCTGGGAGACAAGCGCTATTATTGTGCCTATTTTATAGATGAGGAAACTGAGGCAGAACTTGTGATTTGCCCAGGATCACACAGATAAAGCATCTTCGGGCAGATTTGAACTTGGGTCTTCCACGTAGATGCCTCCATTTTGGGAAACAGTCAACAAAACTTAGCCTTAAACTACCGCAGAATAGGGAAGACCAATAATGACCAAAAAAAAAAGTGTAGGACTTGGGACATTTTTCAGTGCTTCATCTAATAGCTTTTTAATTGGTTATTGAAGCTTTTGACAATTTCTGCTTTTATTTTCTCCTGGATACTCAGTCTCCCACCCTTGACTATCACATCCCTGACACTGCTCTTGGTGTAACTTCTGTCTAAAGCCCACTCTTTCATCTGATGTTAGCAATCTCCTAATCTATTAAACTTTGAAGTGTCCCCCATAACTCTGTTTGGGTGCCCCTTCTCCATACTCAGTGATCCTCCCACATTTATCAGCTACCTCCTAGAACACTGCATGCAACACCTGCATGTCTTACTGATTTAACGTGTCCAGAATGGAACTCATCATCTCTCCCCCAAACTCACCTTTTGAGAAACTTAATTTCTGTTGACAGCATCTTCCCATTTACCTAGATCACAACCTTGGAGTCAACCTTGATTCTTCCTGAAACCCCCATACCCATGACCTGTCCACTCTACTCTCACAGATACAGCACTTTTAAAATCACTTTATTATACCTATCCTGTATACATGTATGCCTCATCCCTGTGTAAATGAAATCTTCTAAGAGGACAAGGATATTTATTTTTGTATCACCATCATCAAGTATGATGCCTTGTGCCTAATGTTCATTCATTTCAGGTGTGTCCATTTCTTTGTGACAGCATCTGGGGTTTTCTTGGCAAAGATCCAAAGATATTGGAGGGACAGGCAGCTAGGTGGCACAGGGGATAGAGCTCTGGCCTTGAAGTCAGGAGGACCTGAGTTCTAATTTGGCCTCAGATACTTGACATTTACTAGCCGTGTGACCCTGGGCAAGACACTTAATCCCGATTGCCTCCCCAAAAAGCAAAAAAAAAAAAAAATGGAGTGGTTTGCAGCTCATTTTACAGATGAGGAAACTGAGACAAACAGGATCTTGTCCAGGGTTACACAGCTAGTGAGTATCTGAGGCCACATGTGAACTCAGTAAGATTAGTCTTCCTGACTTCAGGCCTGGCTCTCTATCCGCTGTGCCACCTAGCTGCCCAATTGCACCTTAATAAATGTTTATTGAATTCCGGAAGGCAGAGAGAACTTTTCCATCCATGATCCAGTTCCATAGGGAACAGAGGAGGGGTGGCCCAGGGTGGGGGAGTAATGGAATGTTGGGAGGGAGGTGTGAAGACATGACAGAGCCCAAATCAGGATTAGAAACCAATGTTTCCCTCTCTCTTCAGAATGCACAGAAAAGGGCATCAAGCCAGGGAGACCCTCTGCTATTACCTACAAATCAGCAAGGAAATAGGCCACACACTTTGCTTAGCTTTTTTAATTGCTTATAAATTATTTTTCCAAACAAGAAGCTTTTCAGCCACAGGTCCCATCATGGCTACAGCAAACACTATAGTTCCCATGTTAACTTTCCTGGCGCCCAAGGGTTTCCCATTGGGCCAGCAGCTTAGGGAGAAGAGCTCACACTCAGAGTGGAGGGTAGAGCTTACTTCGGAGGAAGGCAAGCTTGAAGCCAACAGCACCCACATGCAGATGCATAAAATACTCAGGTCTCAACTGCCTGAGTCCTGCAAGAGTGATGCCCCCAGGTCACTGGCCTTCAGCCTGCCCACCCCCCCTCCACTCCCTTCAAATAATTCTCCCTCCCCTCCATATCCTGTTTCTCTATTTCCAGCTCACCCTCCGTCAGCTTTGCTGGGGGCCTTGTATTGCTGAAGGAGAGAGGAGAAAGATGAGGGGGGAGTAAAAGATTATAGATAACAAAGAGTTGTTCATTTATATTTAAGGGGGAAAATGTAGAGAGGAGACTCCAGGTTCTTGAGGTGACTCAAAGCTCTCCCCTCATACTGAAATCAAAACTGTATAACAGACCACAAGAATGCATGTAACAGCTGAGTCCAAATAACACTAAAGAAATCAGTGGCCAAACTCACTGGGTGATGACAATCAGGTGACTTGGGTAGTTTAGGGGTGAGGGGACTGCCATGCTAACCCCTTTGCTAGAGCTGAGGACTACTGTGAGATAGGGTAAAGGTTCCAGAGGCCTGCTCCCTCTTCTCCTGCTATGGAGAGAGAAGTTGGAGTCACCTCATCCCTAGGACAAGGAACCAGCCCCAACCCAGCCTCTATCACCTTCCTCCTAAGCCCAGGATAGATTCTGGTTGGGGTTTTGCCTTCTCCCTGTTACCTCTTAAGAGCCCCACTGCCTGCCTGATAACCAAATATAGTGGTGGGGGGGGGGGATTAAATCCTTCCCTCTTGAGTCAAATTGAGAAGGATGGGCCCCAGCATGAGTACTAACTATAGCAGCAGGTAACACTGTGAGCAAAGACAGAAGGTTTTGGTGGAGTTTGGCACTTTGAACTAGTAACAAGTCTATAAAATATACATGAGGCTAGGGCTAGAATCACAGCTGCACATGCCATCCACCTTCCCCCATCCTGCAATACCAACATAACCTAATTTATATAACATCTTACTCTTGTCCAAAGACAGGGTTAGGGAGATGATAAAGAATAAGGCAGAGGATAGGCCACAGACAGGGCCCTGATTCCTTTGAGGAAACTTCTAAAAATTGATGATGGGAGGTGGAGGGGGCATGGAGAAGTGATTTATTTTGGCCCACTCCTGAGGCGAGTTAAACTAAATGACCAGGAGGGGAAACCCAAAAAGCAGAGTTTTTCTGGCTTTCAGTAGTAGCCCGTCTAGATCACAACCACATTGGCTCTTTAACTCTGGGGAAAACTCGCCCCAGTTCTTGCCTCAGTCTTCAGACAAGGTAATTTCAAAGGAAAACCTCTTAGCATCCCATCATCCTCCCTTCCCCTGAATGCCTGGGATCCTGCCCAGGTAAGGCTGAAGGCTAGGATGGAGCCTGGAGGAAAAACACCCCCTTCCCACCCCCAAAACAAAGGACACTCAGGAAAACATGCAAATGATTACAAAATAGATTGTGTATATGGGTCTAAAATGGCAACACCACTGGAGAAGACTGCTATCAGCTGAGGAGAGGGGCAGACCTGTCATTTGTCACCGTTGGCTTTAGCTGAACATTAGCAAAGGGATTTCTGTGGAGAGAAGAAAAAAAAGCAAGTCTTTAATGAAGAGTACTTCCAACATCCCTACTCAAGAGTGAAGCTTGGGGAGGGAAATGGGCTTTGTTGTGGGAGATTATCCAACTATTTGGCTTCATCTACTGCCTACATTTCCAAGTTCATCTGGTCCTATTCAACCCAACCTCAGGCCTAACCAAGCCTTGCAGACAGGCAGCAAGGTGAGACAAGGAGGGATTCCAGCTCGTGCTTAAGATATGCTATTTAAAAAAAAATTTCTTACCCCATTTATTGATTAGTAATTTGAGGTCTTTGGGTAGGCTAAGTATATCTATAGACCTGTGAGTTTAAGAACTATCTGTCTGCAAGGCTGGCTGATGTTAAATCATTTCCAACAAACTTTTTTTTTAAATTGACTTGCAAATTAAGGACAATGAGTATTGGGATAGCAGTGGTGGGGTACAAAAGTCCACTTTTGGCACCTGGGTGGGATTTTCTCCACTGAGCTCTTATATTTGAGATTTCAAAGCTGTCTTTCAGACATGCTCGATCAGAATCTTTTCCTCCACAGAATTCAGTCCATTCTGGCTGCTTCTGTCAACAGAAGGGGCCAAGGGAAACTACTCCCCAGTTGCTGGAGGGCACCTAATAGATAGCAAAAGCATGTTCAGCTACCCCACCCACTTAGAGAGGGTAGGAAGGGTGGGAGAATTTGGAAATCACCCTACCCCCAACTGTTTTCACCTAGGATGTTTGATGGGAGTGTCCCACCAGCTGTTCTCTGTCACCAAAGCAGAAATTTGCTGCATAAGAGCAAGGTTAAGAAAGAACTGGTGCCTTCAGGAGAGGGGTCTTTAGTGACTTAAAAAGCACCACCCAAAATTGGCCCAAATGGAAGAGTTTAGTGAGAAAAGTCCCAATCAAATACCATCCCAATTAAAGCAGATGAGCTCCTTTTTTTGAGGAGTTTCCAACACAACATTATCTCTCTACATCACAAACACACACACACACACAGACGCAGACGATATTTATGTCTAATGATACATTATGTGATACACACACAGATGGACAACTGTCCCTAACACTCCATTAACACCCCAAGGGACACACAAATGCTGGCCTTCTGTATTGCTTCTGACCCACATGTATGCGCACACGCACACACACACACACACACACACACACACACACACACACACACACACATTATGCAGCCACATCTTAGGCTCCAGCAGGGACCCACATCACAATGATCGTCAGTTGCTAGGATGGCAACCCAAGTGTCTAGTGAGTGATGGTTCCTCCTCCCAGGAGAGACTTGGAGAAAGACAAAGGGCCCAAAACAGTAGCCCACAGCTTTCGCCAACCACTCCAGGGAGAAGCAAGAGTCCCTGGGACTGAGCTCATGCTTCCCTCCCATT